AGGTGTGCGGTCCCAAAGATTCTGTACACCTATCTGGTAAGAACCATGGCTTCTTAGGTTAAAGCCTCAAGGAGTGAACAAAGGCCAAGTAAAAGTGAAAAAATGGGGGAGGCGTCTCATTCATTCAAGAGATTATTTCTCCACTCTGAAGGTCTGGGTCTCTAAAAGCATTTGCAGTACTTCCTCATATTTAACCAGGGCCAGTCCAAGAAACCCTGCTGCCTGAGGCAAAGGGCAAGATGGCCTCCCCCTCCATTCCACATGCAGAATGTCCTGAGCAAGCCCTGCCCAAAGAGGACAAATGGCTGGTAGTTGACAAAGCACACACGAAAGCACACTTCAGACAACTAAGTACGGAGCTGGCATCCCCTCCCCAGGCTTGTGCTCTGAGCTGGACAGTTAGAACGACAGCGTAACCATGCCTCCACTCAAACTTAAGTACTCTTGTCTGATGGCACACCCGCAAGCAGCCTGAGACGTCTCCTGTACAGAAATTGCCATGGTGACTGTCTCTTCAAGCTCCTCCTGGTCCTGCGGGACAGCAGAAGAGGGGATAAAGGGGATTCTGTCACCACCACCCCTCAGGCACTATCCCATCCTCCACTCCTGGCACGTCCTACCTTTTCTTCAGCATGACTCCTGAGCCATGTCTTGCACCCCCTCCCCTGTCTCCTCCTGCTCAGACTCTTCCCCTCCCTCCAGCTCTGGCTCCGCCCTTGCAGGACGCGCAAAACCCACAAACCCACTGCCCCCTTCCCCTGGGTCAGGCTCTGGCCCCACAACTGCCGGGACCCACTCCTCAGTGCCTTGCCAATCCCTGACACAGAAGCTGACTGGCCTGGAAATTGACTCCTTACTTCAGCAGCATCAACAGAACATTGCCTTCCACCACACCTGAGGGGAGCAGGCTAACTTGTGGGGCACAGAGCAGGCTATGTGGTGCACATAGGCTGTCTTCCAACATAGGGAACAGGCTAGGATGCTCAGGAGGAATGGCACTGCTCCACCTCACACCCCATAATCTGTTGCCTGAGGCAGCCACCTCACTCTGCCTAAGATAGGCCTGCTCATAAATGCTTGTAGCAGAAGAAATATCTGTAAAGAATCCTAAGCAGATGGTTCTTCTCATTGAAGTGCATCAAGCACAAGGCCAGCAGAGATCCCTTAAGTAAACAATGATTCACCAGCTGAGAGCCTTTAGTTCACACCTCTGTGGAAACAACTCCAGATAAGTATCTGAAGGGTGGAAAGGGGTAAACGCTCACTGCAGGCTGCAGTTTCCCAGGTGTTTGCACTCCAATCCTGCATCATCAACCTCATACCATGATGTGTGGGTGGGGAAAGCTTGATGCGGAAGAGAGAGCTATGCTGCGGAGAAAACGGCCTGTTTGTTATTTTCTCCTCCCTTTCACAAGCAAGATACATAGTGCTGGAGAGGGGCTGCAGGCAGCCAAAGATAGAAAGCTTCACAAAATAGCAGGACATTGATACAGGGAAGCGGGTAGATGCTGATGAAGACTTGCTAGTGTTGACTGTCTTTTAATTTTACAGGCCACATGAATTCTGCTGTGCTCCAATGATTCAGCACTGAGCACTTAACGGTCCAGCCTTTCTCAACCCGTGGGTCCCCAGATGTTGTTGAACTACAACTCCCATCACCCCTAGCTAGCAAGGCCAGAGCTCAAGGATGATGGGAGTTGTAGTCCAACAACATCTGGGGACCCACAGGTTGAGAACCGCTGAAACCAATATTTATCCTGCCCTTCTTTCCGAAGGAGCTCAAGGTGGCAAACCTATAAGTAATAAAAACAATTATAAAATATTCTAAAAATATTCAACCAATGATTTCAAGGTTGCCAGGAACAGTATATTTCAGTCATCGCATGTCTGGGTAACCAGGAATGCTTTAAAATTCCTCCTAAAAGTGAATAATAAAGGAGGCAGATACAATAAGGGAGGCAGGCCCTGTGACGGGTCAACGCCAGGCAGGCATTCCACAGTTACAGCACCACCAGCCAGGCCTCACCTGCCAATCGTAGGGTCCAAGATGGTTGCTATTAAGAAAGGCACTCTTTTAGGTACTTGTGTCCCAAGCCATTTAGGGCTCTGTGCGCTAGTACTGTCACATTTCATAAGGTAGATTACACAGAGAAAGCACATGTGATAGGAAAATGTGACACTCCTGAAATAAATAATAATAATAATAATAATAAACCATTGGGAGAAAGTGTTTGTGTCCCTGCAAAAACTCGTTGCAAATGGTGCAATAAAACCACTGTAAAAAACAAAAAACAAACCACTGCTGAAACAGCAATGCCTTTCTCACTTTGCAAAGAGCACCCAAGGTCAGAGGTAGGATGAGTTAAGTCTCAGTTTGCACACACACCCCTTCTAGATTAAAGGAGGGCACGGCTGAGGGAGCCAGGTCCACTGATGCCAAAACCACTGCCCCAAGACCACCAAACATTGCCGTGTTCTGACAGCAGACCACTCCTTGAGACGGGGAAAAGGACTCAGGAGCCCTGATTTCTGGCAACTCTGGAGTCCTTTTTGTGAAAGTGGCTACCAGCATGTATTGCTCTGAGGTAATCAGCTGATCAAGAGGGGACTACATATAAGCAAACCTGCTAGGCCTGATAGCCAGAAGTTCCAGACTGTGGGCTTCCTTAAAAGAAAAAGAAGAAAGACTTGAGCCCTTGCAGAGAGAAAAAGATAAAAAGCAAAACCCTGTCCATAAATTAGAGCTACTGGCGAGCAGTGAGGTGGCAAAGTTTGCTGATGATGGTTGAAACAACAACAAAAAGGATTGTGAGGAACTCCAGAAGGACTTTGTCAGGTGAATGGGCAAATGGCAAATGCTATTCAATGTAAGCAAGTGTAAGGCAATACATAATACATATCTCCTTGGCAGGGGCATACGAAATGGGGGGCAGAGGGTGCAGGCTGCCCCGGGTGCCACTCTCGGGGGGGGGTGTGACAAGATGGCCCCTGCCTCCCCCCAGCTGTAGAGTGGCCAAGGACGCGCACAATCAGTATGGGCACCGCTCTTGCGTCGTCCGTATGGGCTGCCTCTTGCGTGCTGTCCATACGGGTGTCCACACGGGCTGCCTCTTGCATGGCGACTTTACAGCCGGCCACGCATGCACAGTCCGTACGGGATGCCGCTCACGCAGCAGCCCATACGGACTGCGCATGTGTGGCATCCCATAACGGAGTGTGCACATGCGACATCCTGTACAGAGTGCGCACACGCAGCAGCCCATGAGTACGCACTCTGTATGGGATGCTGCATGTGCGCACTCCGTACGGACGTTGCATGTGCACCACCGGGCGGTTTGCCCCACCCTTCGGCATCCCACCCCAGGTGCCAGAGAGGGTTCCTCTGCCACTGCTCCATGGGAGCTAATATGACCAGATGATGATCAGAAGAGAGTACTTATCCAGACTCCCCTCCTCCCGCTAGCTGGGGGGGGGGGTGAAAGGTGTTTCTGCATCTGCAAAGAATAGACTGAAATTTGAGAATGAGAGAAAGAAATACTGAGAGACAGGGAGAGCTGGGTGGGTGTGGGCACTGCAAACAACATTGGGTGTTGGTTATCTCCCCAGAGATTTTGTGTGGGAACAGTGTGCTTTCACAGTCCGTTGGAGTTTTTAAACTATTTGCATTCACCTAGGCTCTACCTGTTTATTCAAAGTAACTTCTATTTGAAATACTACCTGTTCCATGTACAGGACCAGCTAAACAGGCAGAACTGAGGAGCCTCAGTGCATGGTTGAGACCATGGGTAGGCAAACTAAGACCAGGGGCCGGATCCGGCCCAATCGCCTTCTAAATCCGGCCTGTGGACGGTCCAGGAATCAGCATGTTTTTCATGAGTAGAATGTGTCCTTTTATTTAAAATGCATCTCTAGGTTATTTGTGGGGCATAGGAATTTGTTCATTATTATTTTTTTCAAAATAAAGTCTGGCCCCACACAAGGTCTGAGGGACAGTGGACTGGCCCCCTGCTGAAAAAGTTTGCTGACCCCTGGTTGAGACAGTGGATGGCACTAGCCTGGAAAGCCTGGCTTAGAGTAAAGTGGACTCCCCATCCCAACTTTAGGAGTGTAGTCTAAGAGTGATAACCAAAGTAGGATGAAAAATGGGTAGAAGCCCCACCTTAATGGACAATGGCCACTAAGTCACCAGAAAGTTGACCCTAGAATCCTTGATGGCAACTTCCATCCACCACAGAGAGAAATTCCAGACCCTTGAGGTGGAATCTGCATGCTGTCCTACGACTGAGTGCGCAAAGCAAGCCCCACTCCACAAATCAGGATGTGTAGTTGGACTGTGCCTTATTATACACCTTCCTGTGTAGAACTACCGAGTGGGCAGCCTATAGTCAGCCCAGGGCCTGCAGGTACTTCACTGAGAAGATGCCTCCTGCAATTAAAAGGCTCCTCACATGGGGGAGCTGCGTACAGATCTAGGGCTTACTCAGTAGGCGTGACCTTTGGTGAGGCACATTACTTCATATGGGGCAGTGCACATCTAACGTAGCTAGCCCAAAACAACTTACAGGCACTTGAATGTTCTCAGTTGAAATAGTATTTCACAATCCATGCTCGATCTGGGAAATATCACTGTTTGCTAGAATTCTATATGCATTTAGCCCAGGGGAGAGGGTGAAAACATGGCATCTTGAGAGCATTTTGGTCACTGCTGCTGCTCAGCAGCTGCTCGGTGTCCTTCTGGTGGGAAACTTCTGGTGTCTCCCTCCTCGCCCGAGTTTCGGTTGGCCTTCACTAGGGACTGAGTCTTTAGTGTACTAGGCCCTGCCCTGTGGAATTTCCTACCAGTGGAGGTTCCCTGCCTTCTTTCAGATGTCTTCTGAAAACGACGCCGTTTAGATAGCCTTCACAATATGATTTTTCCTTGAAACTGGGATCTACGGATGTTTTGTTGCTGTTTTAAGCTAAGCTTTATAGATACATATAGACTGATCTTATAGTGTTTCAAGTGTAAGCGCCTTGTTATATTTTATGAAAGAGCAGATTATACGTTTTCAAACAAACAAACAAACAAACAAACAAACAAACAAATAAGTAGGCATGTAAAATTAACATGGCTGCACTTTCCAATGTTTCGGTTACTAAGTCAAGTAAGCATGCTAAATCAGATCCCACTTTATTTATGTCATTGCAATATGGTATGGAATGCTCTCAAATTTTTAAAAATGTCCAACGCACACCCCCCCAATCATTGCTGAAGTGTAGCATCTCTCATCAGAGTGGCAGAGCGTTTCAAGCTGGTGTTCAGGCAAGGGATTATCCCTACTCAACAGACAAAGCTCTAACCTGATGCTCATTGACATGAACGTGACCTCCCCAAGGTTGCACAAGGAATTTGTGACAGTTGGGAAGAGCAGCTGAGTCAGTCCACTCTGAGGACACCTGACTCCCTACTTACACCAGTTGGGAGTTTACATAGCCACATCTTCTCTTGAAATTATGCATGTGACTAGGGACAATGAAAGTTCTGCTTTCATCACCAAGCGTGGTGACAGTAGTTAGACAGTAGGGCTAGAGATTCCCAAGTTCAGATCCCCAGTCTACCACAAATCTCACTGGTTGACCTTGGGCCAGCAGCTCTTCCTCAGTCTAGCCTACATCATAGGGCTGTTATAAGGATATGTTGTACAGTATGTGTAAAGGAGTGTGTGAAATCCTGTACGTTGCCCTGAGATCCTTGGAGAAAGCACAGGCCATAAGAACGTAAGAGCAGCCCTTCTGGGTCAGGCTAATGGCCCATCTAGTCCAACGTCCTAGTGGCCAGCCGGACGCTCATGGGAAGCCCACAAGCAGGACTTGAGTGCAGCAGCACTCTCCCTTCCTGAACTTTTCCACATCTAGTATAAATGTAACAAAATAAAACACACCAGTATTTCCAGAGTTTTCAAAGTAACATCTCTACTGGGTGTGTGTGTTCTACTGACAGCACCCAGCACCTTCATGCAGCTGCCAAACTGGCACATTTCACCAATCCTCTCCCCCACCCTGGGCACCTGGCTGTTGGCTTACTTGGCAGTTGCAGGTGACCATTTTAATTTCCCACAATGCCCTGGGGCAATGCTATATTTTGGGGTGGGTGGGGAATTTAAATGGCTGTCCACTGCTGCCACTGCCAGGTGATCCCATGGCTTGGGTGGGGAGCTCTGACTAAGAAGTGGCTCCACCATGGTGCACTTTGCTGAAGGCTTCTATAAATCTTTAGTTGGGCCTGTGTGTTGCGACCCTTCCCCTGGGGAGGAAAAAAAGCACACCACCTCCCAGAACTGCACTGGGGTGAAAAGGCTCTCTTTTTCAATCTCTTCAACTAAGACCACAGTGGCAGTTTTCATTCGGTATTCCATAGAGTTCTGGGATTCCTGAGAAGTCAGGATGGACAACTTAGAAGAAGTGTAAGCTGAACTAGAGGCAGTATTCTAGGTAAAGGATTTTGCTTCTTATCATCTTATACAGATAGTGGAGTAGAACTCCAGACAACCAGGTGATTATTCTCTCCCTTCTGCCAAAAAATAATAGTAAAATTTTAAAAATGGTTTAAGATGTTGTGAGCTGTATTATTACAAGGCATCTGTAAACATGAGGAAAGTTCTGCACGTGTCAATCCATGATCTGCTTCACTGTTCAAAGGAGAGCCTCATTCCTTGTATGTAACCTGAAACCCGTTTGTCTCACAGCTGAAATGGGTCCCGCAATAGGCAACAGTGGGAGCCACAAGTTGGGATCCTAATTATCTATTTCTCCTTTGGCAGCACAATGCCATGCCATCGCCACTGAGAATGGAGAGGAGCGGATAGAGATCACAGCAAGGTGCAGAAAGTCCTTGTAAGGCAAAGAGCTACAGACTGAAATCAAACAGATCCCTGCCCAATTAAACCACAACTTGCGCTATTTCTACACAACACAGAGACACCTTGTGGTCGATTTATATATTCCCATTTTAATAACTTGCGTATGTCCCTGGCTGGCAATTAGTAAGTTTTGTCACCGTTGTTTTTGCTGCAACAGACCAACACGGCTTTTACCCCTCTGGAATTTGTCAGTGTAAAATAATGAGCCAAGTTTCACTGTCTACATTCATTCCATGCACCGTGCTCTGCCAACCATTCCTGCTCATTCCACTAAGCAAGTCAGCTGATTCTGAGCTAGTTCCTGATTGGCCTCTCCCCCTATAACTGCCACACCCGTTTCCAGTTATCCCTGCTAGAACCTGGATTTGTGCTTTGCTTTTGGCCTTATGCTCCTAGGCCCCAGCAGTTCTATTGTTGCACCCCACCCCACCCTGCGAGTCGTGCGAGATTTCAGGGGTTCTAGGCCCCGGGTTCAGTTTCCTTGGAATGGGGGACAGTGGAGACTGTGGTGTCTCAGTGATATATAGTATGGTTTATTTACACATATATACAACCTCAGCCTAAGATGGAGGGGCGCACAGCATTAAAACCCCAAAAGGTCTTGCTCAGTGCTTTTTTCAATAAAAATAGGTGCTGGAACCCACCATGAAGTTGTTACAGTAAGTTGCCAGGTGACTCTGAGCAGCCCTCAACAGATGTTGGTTTGACAACAGCTGCATTCAGGGCCCACAGAGGTGCTAAAAACTATGACAAGCTGTCCCCTAGGTGGTTTGGGGGTTGTCCCTGGTTCTGGTGCAGGCCAAATAAATGTGCCCCTGCCTCCCTCATTTTCTTAAGATTCAGGGGGATGACTAGGGCAACTTGGAAGGACCCTCGCACAAACCCATGTGTGCGCAACGGTAGAGGCCTGGCTGGAAGGCTTACAGCCTGCCACCGCTACATGGGAGACAGATTGAAGACCAAGAAATACAAATTGGCCCCACCCCATAGCTAGGAGTCAGGAGGACTCATACAGTTTTTTAAAAAGTGTAGACTCACACAAGCTGGCCAGCTTCCGTTTTGACTTGAAATGTCAAAAAGACATCAATGTTGTAACCTTTCCTCCTAATGGCCTGGGACTGGATCACATCTGTGGCTCACTCAGTATATTCATCTACTCTCAGGCCCATGCCTTGTCATAGGGAGAGACTTCCAAACCTTGTGCAATTTGCAGGGTGGACTTAATCCTGTTTGAGCACTAATGCTGGGGGGAGCCGAACAGGTGCAGGTGTCAGGCCAGGTTGAGGAGGGGATTAGCTGGGAAGACATCCCTGCAGGTGCTCTGGTGTCTCTCTCCACATAATCTGACAAGGGACTAAACTAGTTACCACTAGCAAGGACGATAACATTTATCTGGGGTGCGGGTGGGGTGATGGAATCGCCCAGGCCATGGCAAGTTTCTCCTCTGTGGTGTTATTATTCAGGCATGTGTGTGCTACTGCTCACAGGAGGAACTAAAAGAATTTTTGCCATGCTGTTGGGGGCTACATCTTTTTAAAAACAAAATGAGATACTCTATTAAAGCTACATTCTGGATGCGAGCTAGCCTTGATAAAACCTGACACTGTTTTCCAGAACCTCCCCTCCCCACTAGCTCTTATGCCTGCTGCTTGAGTGGGGAAATCCTTGTGTGCAGCGATGTGTATCTTATTAGTATGAGAAACTAAGGATTGGGGGAAACATAGTGTGTGTTATTTTAGTTATAACACTGCCACCTTCCTCTTCTTCTCTTGACTGGCAACAGGGGCCACCTGGCTGCATGAGTCTGAATGACATATGTGCATGTATATGCATTTGCACACCAGGCCTTTTCTCTGATAGTAACACCATTTGCTCACTCAGTTCCTGAGAATGCAGATGATGATTGTCCCAAACCATTTCCATAGCTGGCATTCCTGGCTCTTGTTTCCAGCAGTCCTGGTTTTCCCAGCTGCTGTTTTCCATTGACTTTTAACACCCTCTTGTCACACAGTGGCTTTGCAATCATTTTGAGGTCTGAACTGATGAGGTGCCGTCTCACCTGGCATAGATTTATCATTAGCTATATGGTGAGTGCCAGTTTCCACACATCCAGGAGAAAGGTAGAGGGGCTCCCCTCAATGAAATCCACATTACCCTAACCCTAACCCCTACCCCTTTTAGCCAAATAATACCCACCTCCTAAATCTGTAGGTAAAATGTCTGCCGCCAAGGGTAGGAAGGATGGCGTCTCCCTCCATGCACTGTCACACATCAGGGCTTAAGGAGCAGGGCTCCTGAATGAGGAAGTGTTGAGTCTTTCTTTTTAAAAACTGAGCACAGGCTTCAAGGCACCATGTGCTACAGATGATCACATGCACAATGAAACCAGGGCAGTGATAGAGGCTTGGATTTTGTTTCCCCTGCAGAGGCCTAGCTCTGTTCAGAACCTCTTCAGATCCACGTTCAGAATCATGTATCTACATAGAAGGAAGACTTCCTTCCTACAACGTCTGGCTCCAGCCTTCCCTCTGTTCTGCTGGTGGGACGTGGCATGAAGTGAAAGGTCTTCCCTCGTGTATCTGGCTTCTTTCTCGTCTTCATTTTCTTCTGGCCTGGTGCTTCAGAAGCCTTCTCCAGCTTCTTCTTCTCATTGGGGGATGGAGGAGGAGGATCAACCGTGATCTGGGGGATGGTAAATGTATGGGTGCGGCTTCCAGGATCCTCCTTGTCATTCTGCGTGTACTCCAGCTGCTGTGCATCAAAGATGGCCTTTGAGCCAGACAGCCGAAGTTCTGGGCTGTACTGGAAGTCAGGCCGAGATGCGCGCAGCTTCTTCAGTTGGGCTCTGCATTCACGTGCCAGATCACGGTCTGAGATGGGCACGTCATGTACCTGCCAGATACAAAGAAAGCTTTTAGGATCTGAGGCCTCAAACCTGTAACTTGGGATTTGGGGCCTGCTGCCTAAGGAAAGGGGATTCCCAAGAAGGCAATCTGGAATGGCTGTCATAATGTTAGGAACCTATCAACAGATAGAAAGTGAGGAAGGGAGAAGCAGAAGAATAGCAGCCGATAAACTGAAAGCTTGTTGGATAGAGGCTGCCCAGTCTGAGACAGCAGAGCCAAGCAGATCTGCCAGCTGACACGTATGTGTGTGTGTGTGTGTGTGTTTGTACACAGACTAGTGGTTGTGAGCAGAGCTCCTTGAAGCAATGTGTTCAGCTGGTGTTGGCCCCAAGAAAGCTTGGCTGGGGAAAGGTTGTTTTCAGGTGGCCCTTTCCCCATTATTCTGTTGTTTTTATAGGTAACCATACACATAAAAATGAAATTTGGGAGCATGGCAAACACATTCACAAGCACATGTGGCATGTTCATCTTGCAGCCAGGCTTGGCCATGGCTCCCTGTCATAGGATCACAAAGTTGGAAGGGGACTCAAAAGGTGTGAGCATATAAGCTCCAGGGCAATCGTCCCATGGACTATGCAGTTGAGGGGTGCCTAGATGAAAGTTTAACTGAAGCTTGACAATTATCTCCTCCCCATGATCACCCTCACTGGGGCTGCCAATTTTCTTAATCACCTCTTGCTCCTAGGCAGGACCTGCAGTCATTAACAGGTGAACACAGGTCCATGGGGTCACGAAGAGTCGGACACGACTAAACGACTAAACAACAACAACACTTCTTCATGTCTTCCAGCTCTACAATTCAATGATTCTATGTCATGAAAAGCTTTGCCTGCTTATTTTTGCACATCAGGATTCTGTGAAAGGCATAAGAGCAGGTTTTTTGGCAATCCTAACACACACAGAGGGATCCTGCTGTATCTGATGCAGACAGAAACAAGAAAGGGAGCTGCAGGTAATTTAAATGTAGGGCAGGGATAAGGAACCTGTGGCTCTCCTGTTGTTGCTGGACAACAGCTCTCATCACCCCTGGCCATTGGCCATGCTGGCAGGGCGGGGGCATTAATGGGAGTTGGAGGGGCCACAGGTCCCCGACCCCAGGTGTAGGATGATCTCCTGTTGCTGCTGATGGCAATTCAGTAGACTGGGTAAAAGTCCCAGGAAGAGGAGCTCCAGTGGTTTCTACCTCAGCCATGAATGTGTCTTCTTGCAGGAGGTGAGCTGGGATACTGCGCAGCTTCTCCAGGGTCTCCACCACCCCTGCGCAGTCACGTAGTTTCTCTGAGGAGCCCAGGGCCAAGCGGATCAACAGCATCCCCACACGAAACAGCACCTTGATCCCTGCAGAAGAAAAATCGGGGCAGATTCACTCAGATATGGTCAGAAACTCCCTTATACTAGGCCAGGCTACTTGTTTATCTGTCTCTTCTTCTTGGCAGAGTCTTGGCCAGAGAACACCTTCTACATCACCGGCTACCTGACCTTTTCAGCTAGAGGTGGGACCTTTGGTGTAACACGTAGCTTAGAGGTAGACAATCCGCCTTGTACACAGAGGGTCCCAAGTTCAATCCCTGGCATCTCCAGGTAGGGCTGGGGAGAGACATCTGTGTGAAACCCTGAAGGGCCATTGCCAGCCATTGTAGGCAAAACTGAGCTAGATGGACGAATGACCTGACTCAGTAAAAGGCAGGTTCCTAAGTTTCTATGCTCCAAAACAAACATTTCTCACCTAGGCCTCTGCCAACTCTAACCACTCCATTGAGGCCTTGTGATGTTTCGCCCACAGATTCTCTCTTCCTCCACCCTTTGAATAGGCCCACAGTTCCTTAAGTCCATGACAGGCACTCACCCTCACTGAGAAAGGCATCCCACACCCTCAGCACTGTGGGAAAGGGCAGGCTGCGGGTAAAGAGGCACAGAAACCACTCTGGCATGTAGAGCAGAGGGCCCACGCCATGCTTCTGCAAGTGCTTAAGCGCCTTGGGGCACACCCGGCGCAGAAGGGCAACAAACACTTCGCTGTCCAGCAACAGCGCTTCCTGCAGGAGAAGGGAGAGAAAATGTCGTGGTTAAATATATGGTTGGTCACATGTTCTCAGATACTGTCCCGAAGGACTTCATCCCATCATAACCCACAAACTCCACCTTTTGCATCTTTCAAAATGAATGGCTCTTTCTAATTTGCCAGAAACTGTTTCCGGAGTCTATGTTGCCCATTTTATCTGGCAGAACTCTTGCACCTCAGCAGCTGTGGGACAGGCCAAAAGGCAACTGCTGACGATTCCCTCACAGTCATCGCGCCGCAGCTCTTGAATCCCTGTCTTTTATTCAGCTATTCAAATGTGCAAAAGCCGTATCTTCAAAATGGTGGTGGCCCTACTAGTACTTGAGATGGAGGCCCTACAAATCAGACCTTTCTCTTCCCCCACCAATTCAACCCCCACCCACAATAATCCTAGATCAATCTTCCCCAACCTGCTGTCCTTCAGATGTTGCTGGACTCCTCGCAAGTGACCATGTTGGGTGGCGCTGATGGGAGTTGTAGTCCAACAGCACCTCCACCCTCCCCCAAATTATCTGACAACCGCTCTCAGAAGATAAGTTTAGGGATTTCTACACAGCTCTGCCCTCAGTGGGAAATGTCCCTGACTCAGCGTCACAACTGCTCACTTCCTGTTGCCCCAGGGAGGACTCGCCTCCTTCCCCCAGTCTATTACCATCTTGGGGCTGTAGTAGCCAGGCAGGTAGCAGTCGCAGATCTGCACCAGGCACCAGAAGGCTTGCTGGAAAGGACAAGTAGGCTGAATTAGTGAAACTTTCAGGCAAATGGGGGGGGGGGTGTGGAGGCAGGAGGGAAGGGAAAGGAATGTGATGGGAAGAATGAGAGAAAAGATGCTAATAAAGAAGAGGAAGGAATCATGATACCAATAGGAACAAAGGGCATCCCTTCCAAGTGCCATGGAAAATCCCAGACATCCCATTCTTTTTGTGCAATATCTTGGTGCCTATTTTGGGTGTTGTGATCTTGCACGCTCTCACACTGCACTCGCGCCCCCCCCCCAGTGCTTTTTTGGGGTGAGAGCATGCCCTGAAGACACACAAACTTGGTTTTGGATCAGATAAAGTCAGACAGTATGTGTAACTTGGCCTGAGACTCACCTCTGCAGGCATGTGCATGAGCAGCAGAGCACCTAGCGGCCCCTGGGCCTGACAGTAACCCTCCTGGGGCCGATACACAGTGTAGGCTTTCAGTAGTTGCAGGAGTCCTTGCTGCCTGTAAGGGAACAGAGGCTTAGAGAAAAGACCGGAATTCACTGACACAGCCTTACATTTAGTTACACCCATCCAATCCAGCCAGAAAAAGCAAACCTGCTCCACTTTCCTGTTGTCCTACATTAGACCACAGGCCAGATTCAATGAACTGGTCCTGTTAGAGGAAGCCCATGCAAGGACTTCCAGTAGCACAGCAGGGCTTTCTCACCTCCACTCTCCCCAAATCTGCTCTGGAGGGTTGGGGGAACCCCTAGAACAGATTTAGGAGATACATGGGGTAGGAGAGGGGGGAATCACTTGCACTGATGAGACACATTACTCAGCCCTCCTTTGGATAAAGCCCTATGTGTACAAACTGCTTTAGACATTTGAATATGAAATAGCTTATAAATACTGCCAATAAATAAATGAATAAACAGAGTCAGCTGCCTTGGAATTGGGCATCCTAAAGAATGTCATTTAGAAACAAGCAACCCTCAATTGCCAGCTCTCATGCTTGTGGAGGAGAGGGGGGAAGGAGGAAATGAGATAACAAATGCAGCGTTAAGCATCTCTTCCAAGTGGTCAGTGAAATAGTACAACCCATGGCTTGACCTCATTTCATGTATACACCAACAGCTTTTGAAGCTACCCTGTTCATCCACCCCATCAATCTTCCTTCCTTCCTGCTCTATTTCCTCCTTGTTTTTCATGGCTTTTAAAAGTGGTTCCCCCCACTCCTCTCCTTCTGCCGCAGCTACTATTCTTTTGTCCCTCTGCCCACCTATTACCACATTTGATGCCCTTTTCTCCCCCCCACCTTTGTTTTCTAATCTCTTCCATCCCAATCCTTGCTAGATCATTCCAATTTGTTTGAAAAACTAAAGCCTAAAATAATTATGAAAAGGAAATAAGTGTATGCATATATAGCTGATGTTCTGTGTGCAGAATCTGGATTACTGATTTGTTTATTATAGTCCCAGGGCATGCACACTGTCTGTTTGGCCGCATTCTGGCAATGCAGGAAGAGTGTTTTGGATCACTGGTCTTCAAAGGGAGCTGGGTCAGGACCCACTACTGAGTTCCAGCCTGAACTGGGGTGGGTAGGAACAGCAGCACTGTCGCCAGGCAAATATATAGTAAAAACACAAGAAGAAATGGGTTCCCAAATGCATGTCTGGGTTAAAGGTGGGTCCCAGGTCTGAAAAAACTATTTTGGATGTCTCCTTAGATTCCTCCACAGCAGTTGGGTCCTTCTGTTGTCACAACAGCCAGACTAGACAATCACTGGGCTAGATGGGGCAAAGAATCTGACTTGGGCTAAAGCAGTTTTCTATGCCAGCAGCATCAGAGAAAAATAAGAACCCAGTCTTAGTACGTACATTAGATAGTACTAAAATGATAATGATGAAACAAGGTAGCTAAAATGACAAGAGGAAACAAAATGACGTAAGAGGAAACAAAAAACAAAGAGGAAACAAAAAAAGAAGTTTGAACTACGTATGGATTGAACTATGTCAGCTGCATGTAGGAATAAAGGCTCTTTGGCTCCCCCTAGAGGAAATGAAACAAAAAGAGAAGCAGGGCTCCCTTGGGTTGGTTACTATAGTGTCACACGGTCCCCTTGTTCCAAGCGGAAATCGCAACCTGTACTTTATAGAAAGCTTCAGTGTGTTTCAGAAGACAATGAAACAGGGCTTCCCATGTGCGACCTCCCCCCTGCCTCTGATCACATGCCAATATATCAAAAGGAAACAAGTTCATGTTGCCTGTGAGGAGGAGAGGGAGAGGGAGAGGGAGAGAGAGAGCGCTATGCTAATATAGATAGGAGTGCAGTACAGATTAGGTACTCTGAGGCTGAAATCCTATTTGGACTCAGTGAGGCTTGCTTCTGCATAGACATGTATAGGATTGCACTGTTAGCCTGACAGGGAATCTGTGGCCATCCATATGTTGTTTGACTTTCAAAACTCACCAGCCTCAGCCAGCATGGCTAGGGTCAAGGGTCATATAGTGGGAGTTGTCGCCCAACAACATCAGCTTCCCTGCCCCTCAGCTACAGGGTGATAGATTGTGTGCAAGTATTTAACTGTGGCTGAAATAATTATACTCTAATGATCTAATAATTTTGATATTTGTTTTGTTTGTGTTCTGTCTTCAAGGTTTCTGGGAGATTCAAATTGCACTGGATGTGCTCTCAAGTGCAACCCACCTTCCCCGGATGCCTACAAGTAAATAAATGTCCATTACGAACATCAGGACTGCCTTGCTACTAATTCATGTTCGTCTCCTCCAGCCTTCGGTCTCTGCCGCAGGTCTGCCAGACGCCCCTGAAAACTCACAAGCAGGGCATCAGCATGGTGACGATTCCCTCTTGTGTGTCTCCATTAATATTAATGGCGTAAGAGTGCGTCTTTTGCAGCCACGTTTAAAGGCAATACAGATACAATTTGCTGCTTTGTCTCTGGAGGGAACTTAGGCAACTTGGCTGCTGTTGGCAAGGCCTTCCAGGTTGTGATCTCATGGACAGAGACTGTGTGTGTAAAGTGTGCTCCAGCCAGTGGTGGAGGAAGCCGCTTGGGCACCTGGGGCGGGGCAAGCTGCCCATAGGGGCAGGGCAAGGACAGGCCGAGCTGCCCAAAGGGGTGGGGCGCACCATGGGGCCTCCGGAGTCTGCCTGCCTCCTCCCACTCTGTTGCCCTACAACTGAAGGGAGGCAGCAGGTGGACCGTTTGGGCAGCGTGGAGCCTGCGCGTGCCCAAGCCACCGCGTCTCTCCCAGGTGAGATGCATGGCTTGGGCGTGCTGCAGGCCCCGCAGTGAGTGCTGCCCGGCATTTTGTCACCCCCAGTGGTGACACCCAGGGTGGACCGCACCCACCGCACCCCCCTTCCTCCGCCCCTGCCTCCAGCCACAGGTTTGCTTTACTTTGTGAGGCTCTCCTGTAACTCACAACATGTGATAGAACTTCAGGCTTGGAAATTTGCGCATTTCACTTCCCTGCTATCAAAGCCAGAGAAATGAAACTGTAATAGGAACATAGTAAGCTGCCCTGCATCGCATCAGGCTGCTTGCCCATCTAGCCCAGTATTGTCCACTTTGACAGGCAGCAGTTCTCCTGGTTCTCAAGTAAATATCTGTTCCATCACCTGCTACCTAATGCTTTTTATCTGGAGATGCCAAGGGTTGAACCAGAGACCTGCTGCATACTCTGCCGCTGAGCTATGGTTCCTTCCTCAAACACGGAGATTGTGGGCAGCGTTCAACAAAATAGTTGCATGTGCACACAAGGATGGCCACTAAGTACAAAGGGATTCCTCCTCCCCCTGCCCCCGGCCATCTCCAGATCTGCTCTGAAGGGTTGGAGGAAGCCCTAGAACAGATTTAGGGAGTGCACAGAGGGACCAAAGGGGTAAGAATGTCCCATTGCACAAGGAGAAATTCACTTGAGTGTTACGTTGAATACAACCCCATGTCTGCACCTAGGCAACTGGAGAATGGTAGAGTACACCCGTTCAAGAATTCTGTTTAAATATAAAAGGAAAAGGAACACCAAAACTGTTTTGTTGTGGGAATGAGTGTCAGAAGCCCATTTACTAGTATTTGTCCAGTTTTGTTTTCATTTAAAGTTTGGATGTGTGCTCCCCTGTTCAAGTTCTACAGCAAGATTCCATGAAACCTCCACATTAAATGAAGAAGCACAGCCAGCCTAGCCTTCTTTCACTTTCATATAGCTTACAGAAGAAGCATGTTTACATTTTATTTTAAAAGTGTTTCTTACGCTGCATTCAGGAAACTTTAAACCCTATGGTAGTCTATTCAGAAATTAATCTGCCTCTCCCGTTCACATTATTAGCCCTTCACTTACCCAGGCCCTTCAGGGGACAGAAACATCTCATGGAAAGGGAACTGGCGATGAATGTCCTTTCTGATGGTCTCCACCCACTGAGGATCACCAGGTATCTCCTGCAGCTCCTACAACAACAAACTACTTTCAGAATGACCTGGATAGAAGGGTTACTAGATTCAGGAGAGATCACACACACAGACACAGACACACATACACACATGCTGAAGACACAGACTATTCCTGAAGGAAGTATATATAGTTCCAACTTTTTTAGCCGCAAACAGACCTAGATAACTTTTGTTGTTGTTTCAATCATCTACATTTTACCAAAATTGCTGGGCTTTTCATCTGCTGCTGTTTTAGTTTTGTAATTGGGTTGTTTTGGATGTATTTAAACATTGTTTCAAATTGTTTTTCCATAGATTGTTTGTGAGCTGCCTTGAGAAAGCTTTGCCCTGAAAGGCAGTATATGAGTTGATTAAATAAGTGGAAACATGCAAAGGAATAAACAATGGCAAGGTCAAGGTTTCCTTCTAGCCAGAATGAAGAACAGCAAGTTTAACAGCCCAATCCTATGCATGTTGACTTAAATTCCATTATCTTAAAGGAGACTTACTTCAAGGTAATTGTTTGTAGCATTATACTGCACTGCACAGCATTCCTTATTTGCTATGAGAACTGCTCTAGCCTTAACTATGTCTGGGCAGCCACCAGATGATAATGTAAACTATCCAAATCAGCAATCTCAGCCAGCAAGAACAAGGTGATGGGTTGCCCAACGAACCATGAAATGAAATGAGGGTTTACAGGAAGAGGACATGGAAGAAGAGGATGAGGAGGTGAGTAATGGCAGAAACTGCAGCAAGCAGAGACCTACAGGAATGTCAGAGTGCAAGTACAGCTGCAGGAGATGCGCCCTCACCTGGTACTTTCCGGGGTTCCTCATCATTTTGGCTTGTCCTCCACACAGCAGAGGCCAACAGCGGACACGTAAGGATGAAGGGATCCCCTTCCGGCATAGCAGCTTTACCTGAGCCAACAGACCTCATCAGTAAAACAGTGATCCTGTACAATGCTCCATCATAAGGTGGACCCAAATGCAGGCCCATCATAGAGCCAGTCAAGGCTGGGGCCAGAGATAGCTGGCAAGTGTCCATCTTGTTTCCCATGCCTTTTAACATCCACACGAAACCCCTGAATGAGAGTCAAGTGCAAGGTGTCATCGGTGTGTGGTTGATGATGATTCCCAGCTCTGTTTCTCCTTTACATTTCATTTTGTTAAGGCTGCAGAAATGCTAGATTGGCGTCTGGGACCAGTAATGGACTGGAATAATTTATTTTGAGAGTATATATTGGATTCATTTATTCTGAGAGTATATATTGTCATTTCATACAACATATAACATGGTAGTGTACAACAATATATACAATAACATATAAACCACAATGATATCAGTAAAAAAAAATGCATATGTTAGGAGATCAATAAACTAAAACTCAGTCTCCTTGACAAGATGGAGGTACTGTGGATATGTGGTTTATCAATCAGAGGAGGTGGTATTCAACCTGGTCTGAATGGGGTTGCATTCTTTTCCTAAACAGGAATGGTTAACCTATGGTCCTCCAGATGTTGCTAGACTACAACTTCCACCAAGCTTGAACCATATTCTGCCATGATCTCTTCTCACCGTGCTAGTATTTGGAGGAAGATCAGGGAGGGTAGATTTAAAAAGGCTGGTGAATACCCTTGCTAGGGGAGGAGCATGTCTCTAAAAATGTAGAGCAAATTTCCATTGTGTAGGCAGAATATGGGCTGTTGTTCTCTGTCTATGAGTCAGTGAGAGAAACTCCTTGTGAACGTTATTTTCTGATCCTAATGGGATTCATCAAATGCTCCATTTAAAGAGGATAGCAGTATCAACAATAAAGCAAATTATCTCCAATTTCCTCTTACCTTTCTGTAACGCCGGGCCATGGTTTTCTCCCAATGACTTGTCATCTCCAGCCACTTGGTCTCACGGTGCCGGATGAGCTCAACTGTGGGCTGCCCTAGGCTATATGTGGGAGAAACAAGAACGAGGCTGAAGACATCTTCCTCTTCCCTCACTTATTGGCCACTTTCTTTTTTAACGCATCCATCATGTCTCTTTAGATGCACCTGGCCAATCTTACAATGTTTAATTTATTGAGGGCTGCTTATAAATTTTTTTAGTGCATTTTAAAATTATTAGCAGTTCCTCTAGAGGCTGCTATGTATTAGGCAACAAACGAATCAAATAATACTAATGTAAAAATGAGGCAAGTTGTCATTCCTTCAGATCTACCTCAGAACCACTTTCCTTTGAGGTGCAAATGCAAAAATGGCCACTACTACAGGGAGCTACTTCAGAAAAAGCACACTCATTGCCACCCACAGAGACAGGCCTCAGGATGTTGATGATCTTGGGTTCTGGGCAGCTTCCTATGGATTTAGCGGTCCTGAGTGATATAAGACCTTAAAAGTAAAAAAACAGCACTTTTAATTGGGCCTGGAAACAAATCAGCAGCTAACATAGTAATGTCAGAACCAGTGCTCAGGGCCGTCTTAAGCATATCCAGCGCCGTGGTGCAAAGATCCCTCCGGCGCCCCCTCCAGCAACTCCAAAACAAGGGAGGGGGCAGTGGAAAATGTCCTCTGCCTCCCCCACTGCCCTGATCCCTGGCCTGGTGGCAGCGATCAAGCAGGAAAACGTGCTGGCGGACATGCTCTCCAGCGTTGGGGCACCAGAGAAGGCAGCCCAGGAAGGCTGCACACTGCCTTTTGCCAGGAAGCAGGAGGAGGACAACGACCAGAAGCAGGGCCGTCTTTAGCAGATGCAGAGGTTTAGGAAGGAAGCCGCACGCATGCCAGCCATATAGTTGGCGGGGCGCAGCTGGCAGGCGTGCAGGGAAAGGGGAGGCTGCCGGCAAAGCCGCACAGCTCCCCCACTCTATGGGCGCCCCTGAGAGGCCAGCGCCCTGGCACAACGAACCACTAAGACCAATGGTAAAGATGGCTCTGCCAGTGCTATAAATTCACATCTTCTTGTCCCAGTTATGGATCTACCCACCATGTTCTGCTCTGTTTGTGATTTCCAAACAGTCAAAGGCAGCCCCATGCACTTCAGGTCTGTGGGATCCACTTTGGGTTTTTCTCTTAGAAACCCGAGGCCCATCAGCTGGAACTCGGTGCCAAATAGTGACTCAGGCAGGCAGGCATATGCTAAGAATTAAGAAGCAGGATGTTTCTGAGCACATGCTCAGCCTAGGAACTTGTGAGCAGTAGCAGAACCAACTTCACATGTCCCTTTGCACACAAATCTGTTCCCGTTTCCTTCCCCTGCTTTTCTTTTTCAGCAGCCTAATCAGAAAGGAGAAAGCTTTTCTGTTGTTGACAGCTGTTGCTGATCTACTGCAGATTAGCCAGAGATCTACCAGTTGATCCCGATCTACTTTCTGCCTACTTTCTGCCCTCTCGGTTTAAGTTCTAACTGTAATTAGTAAGCAAATACAGAGCAGCCTTAAACAAATAATGTAATGAGCAAGTAAACACTGATTAAATCTTAAAATATGGTTGGGGGGTTGGCTACTTGGTTTCTCCCCCACCCCTCTACAGAAATACTCGATTTTGTAGATCCAGAGACACAGCATGGCTCCTTACAGTTCTGTTTTTATGTGTCGTGTTCCTTGAGTGACAGAGAAATGCACTGAAAATTGTGGAATGAAAAATGGGAAGACATGTTAGCATCCTGCAAGCAAATCAGGATGAAGCATCACTGTCATTGTAACTAAACAAATCAGAAAGAATGTTGAATAAAGGCTGGATATTATCTAACTTACGCGTAAGCTTTGTGCAGGCAAATCAGAATGAATGTTCAATAAATAGATGGTCAGAAGCAGCCTTTTAATAAATTTGACTTTCATGCTCTCTTTCCCAGGAAGAAAATTGTACATTGGCCAGGAGAAGGGAAAAACTTTTTATCTTTAACAGGAAAGTCTCAGCATCTAACTAAACTCCAGTTTTCTATGATCCTTGGGGGAAGTTATGAAAGCTAAAGTTGTATTAAGTTGCATCGAAACTGATGCAGATTTGCAGTGTATGTGTCAAACTGATGTAGATTTGCAGGGCTTCTGAATCTCCAGTGCAGTATGCCTTGCACGCAGGCAAGTTGAAGAAATCTTGTCACTAACCACTGTAACCACCCCTGTTGCCATGGCGCACAAGTTGTCATGGACACAGTGAGAGGATGTGGCCACTCATGATTGCTATAACAGGAAGTGTTAGTTCATAGGTAGGCAGAGACATTTTCCTATGGAGGCTTCTCCTTCTACCTTACAGTAAATCTTAACATTCGGTCCATTGCTCATTCCAGCCCAGTCTTTATAGCCCTGTTAGAAGTTGAACTTCAAGCCAGCGAGAGAATCTATCTAGTATTAATATGCATACATGAGTAATATTGCAGAGAGCTCCCAAGACGACTTTGCATTGCATTGTTTCATTTATTTATTTATCGCACTTGTACACGATGTAATCATTTACGTATCTAAGTGGTGTACCTAAAAGCAAACCACAGAAAATGGGACAAGCATTAAAGGGTGAGCTATGCAGAAGTAAGGGAGGGAGGTGGGCAATCTGTTTCCCCCAAGACTTGATCTCCCCACTCTCTACTAGCTACCTAAATTCTAGACTGCAAGCAACAATGATTGGTTCAATTTCTCTTGAGTTCCATTATGCAAAATGTCAATCTGGATTGCTTTTTAATTTCCCCTGCACCGCTTTCTGTCTTTTCCAATACATGCAACCACTTTGCTAAGCAGTTTTATCCCTGCACTGAAAATATTCCTGGAGTATTGAAGCTTGACAAATGAAGCCTATGGACTGCATTCCCTCTACATCTTAGAAGTCCTTGTTTCAAATTATACCATCCCAATCAACAGCATCTATCAACCTTACCTACTGCAGCCATTTCCCCATTGCAAATAACTGTAATAAAATAAAGATAGGGTTGAGATGGTGATTTAAGGAAGGCAACTGACCAGGCAGAAAACAACAACACATGGGCCTGTTTCTATATGACTGCAAAGAAATTATATACCGTATTTAAAGCACATTCGAAGCACATTCTTTCCCTCAAAGAATTCTGGGCACTATAGTTTACCCTTCACAGAGTTACAATTCCCAGGACCCCTTAGCTATTTACAGTGCCCAGAATTCTTTCATTTTCCAACCATCCCCTGGGGTTTTCCTGTTAAGCATTAGGCCTATGAAGAATTCAACCTTGAATAAATTAACTATTGAATAAGACCTTATCAATTTCAAGACAAGAGGGGAGTTTTGCAAGAAATGAGATTTCAGATTGCCTCAAGATTGCCATTAGAGTACACATGAAGCAGGTACATCTCCAGTCTGTCGCAGTTTGTATAGCTTCACCAAGGAAGGTCAAAATAACACACAGAATGCTGAATAAAGTTTGGGGAAAAAATTATTTGGGGTGATACAGGGTCATATAATACTTTGAATATGTTGGGCTATGACCAATGTCTGCAGCAGAGAGAGCCAGGAGGATCATATGTAATTATATAATAAGAAAAAATCATAAAGAAATAACTAGATAATGAGACAAATTGATGACACCAATTGTACAATTGGCCAATACGTTATTCATGGAAGTATGCTGAACTGTAGAAGTGTTAACAGGTATCAAATTTTGAATCTGCGATAATTATCTGTTTCCCCAGGCAAGGCGATAGCCACTGTCCTGCTCCAGCAAATGAGATATACATATGGAAACAGGCCTCCATGTTCCCAGTTAACAAAGATGCAGATGAGAAGAGCACGTCTGTCACAATGGTTAGGGAAGCCCCATTGATCTGACTGGATGCATTTTTGCTAGTTCTATGGATTGTTTGAGCTGAGCCAAGATTTCTGTCCTCCTACATCAGGGACAGGAAGCTTATGGCCCTCCAGATGTTGCTAGAATCCAACCCTAACCATTGGCACTGATGGTTGGGGCTAATAGGATTGGAGTCAACAGCATCTGGAGAGCCACATTTTCCTACATAATAAACCTGGGACCACACTATAGGTTTATTGTGTCTTTAATATTTTGTTGGGAGCGGCCAGAGTGGCTGGAGCAACCCAGTCAGATGGGTGGCTTATTATTATAATTGTTGTTGTTATTGTTATTATTATTGTCATCGTCATCTATTGTGTGTTGTGAATTTCTTTCTGTAGAAAAGGGAAGGAAAGATGAAAGAAGGTTTAGAATTAAGTACCAGGGATCTTGACCCCTTTTCATCCTCTCCATAAATAAAACCCATTCCTAGTCTCGCAAATAGCCACAATTCATTTAAATTAAATATGGGAGTGGATCACATTCCCTGATCCATTCTTCTTCTTCTTTTTCATTTCACAGTTATCAATATGTGTTTTAGAGCTACCTAAACAAAACTGGAAGCAATAATTATACGTTTCTTCCCCTTGGTTTTAAATCACATTTCTTGCTAATGAAATTAAGGATTATTATTCTGGGATCTGTGGACCCAGATGAGAACGAGAGTATCCTTCAGAAGGATGATGCTCATCACATTCCAGAAACCTGTGCCTGCCTTTACAAACAAGCAAGGATCTAGAAATGATAATACTGGGGCATAATGTGTCCCACCATCTTGAAAACTGCTACCATGCAGAGGTATTCAATGTCATTTTCCAAAAAGTGCTGCTTCGCCTTCTCCCAAAGCTTCCTCCCCCTTTTCCCCATGGTCTTTGCAACAGAAGGCCTGCCTTACCCGTTCTGGAGGCTACTGCCCCCGATGAAGCCATAGCGATCAGCTTGGCGATATGGAGGCATCCCATTCAGCTCAGAGTCGGAGCCCAGAGAGCTGGCATCATCATTCAGGGATAAATCAAAGGCATCTGGCAATTCAGCTGCAGCTTGGCTCACATCAGGGAGCTCTTTGGAAAGAGTGAGGTCCGACATCCTTCTGTCCGAGAACAGCACCCTTATCTCAGGCTGGTTGCTACTGCACCCTTGACTTCACATCTGAATAATGAGAAACACGGAGTACTTCTCAGTACTCCTGTGACTCTAGTTCCCCACAAAGCTCTGTAAGCTATTTCCTCCCACAACCATTTCCTGATGCAACTGACAGCACCCAGAGCTCTGCAAAGTGAACAGGGCAAAGGGGGCAGGGAGAGAGAGAAATGTGGGGATCTGAAAATATGTGGGAAGCTAAACACTAGACAGCTCCCTACAGAGAGACTTGGAAGGTAGCCAACACCCCCAGTGAATGGTCCTACCTTTCACCTGCTCCCCATGTACAAACATAGCCTTACTCCAAGTCAGGCTGTTGGCCATGTTACTTAGTACACTCTAAATTGACTGGCAACTGAGTTCAATGTGTTCTCAGCCTGGGTTTTCCCAATCCTAGGTCTGGCACTGCAGTCACTATACCACTGGTAGGGCAGAAGGCTGGGAGCCCAACAGTAGGTGGAGCCAGAGTCAATGTTAGGTGGAGCTAATTGAATCTAGTTTTGCTCCCATATTCATTCCTGCTGAGTTCTATAAGAGCAACACTGATGCTTAAGAAGAGGAAGCTGACAGATATTCCTACCCTCCCTGGGCTGGGTGTAAATAGGCAGGTAACCTGAGGACAGACTGAGGTTGCACCCAAAAAGACCAGCTTCCACTGAATTTATGACAAAACCACTGGTTGGTATACAAAATGGACCCAGAGGGGCACGTGAAAGAATCCAGCTGGCCTGGATCATTTAGAGATCAGTCAGAAACAAGTGTGTGCTACTCTTGCCTTAGCTGCAACCACTCAGCCAAACGAATGAGGCTGCAATCTCTGGGGAAGGCTGTGTTTACAGACATAGTTCCCAGTGGTGTGCGTGTGGCGTCATGATTTGGAAAGTCACTGGCCTGAGTCACTGACTGCATAAACAACCACCCAGCACAACATTATTGGCTAGAAGATGCTGAAAACAATAGCTTCAAGTTCTCTGACCAAGCCTCCCTCACCCCACACGCTTTGGTTAAGAGGGTTAAGAGTTCTTCTTCCATACCAGGGCTAGTCAATGTGGTGCCCTCCAGATGTTGTTAGACTACAACTCCCATCAGCCTGTCAACATAGCCAGTGGTCAAGAATGAAGGGAGTTGGGAGTCCAGCATCTGGAAACCACAGTTACTGCCCTGTTTAGTGCTGCAGCAGCATAGGCACTGCTCTCTAGGAGCCATGATTTCCCTGTAATACTTACTGAATCTGGGGTTTACGGTATATATTTCAACTGGACTTGGAAAAGCCCTCCTATGCCAGCTTCACACATTTCCAAATGGAAGGCAGTTATCTACAGTGGTACCTCGGGTTACATACGCTTCAGGTTACAGACTTCGCTAACCCAGAAACAGTGCTTCAGGTTAAGAACTTTGCTTCAGGATGAGAACAGAAATCGGGCTCTGGCGGCGTGGCAGCAGCAGGAGGCCCCATTAGCTAAAGTGGTGCTTCAGGTTAAGAACAGTTTCAGGTTAAGTACGGGCCTCCGGAGCAAATTAAGTACTTAACCCGAGGTACCACTGTATAGGCACATGTAGATCAAAGGATCACAAATTTGGGTGTATTTTTTCATGCAGCATACATCATAGCTCCTCAATCTAGTGAATACAGAGAATGAAAAAGGTATGTCACATAAACGGCTAAACAAATAAATGCCTTCCATGTGCTTATTTTGTAATCTGTGAAGCTGCAGCCTGGCCTATACTCAAGGAAATCTATTAAGAAGTATAGACTCAGGTTTGCCCTCCTCTCTTGGCATAGCGTCCTATGGCTCCAGCTACTTTCCGTTCCTCAGAATTGGGGAAACTACAACCTGGAAGTGGAACGGAACTTTCCACTCTAGCAGATTCTCATTAAAAGCAGCTGGAGAGAAGCCAAATGCAAATTTGTACTTTAGTGGGTTTATATCCTACTATAGTGGTGCACCACATCAATGTTGGGTCTCTTGACTCCAATCCTCAGAAAACAGGGACACTATTCTACATCAGTAGAATGTCCCTATTTTCTGAGGAATGTTGGAGGGTTAATCTTCCTATCTGTAAAATGGGGGGGGAGCGATGGGGACTGACCTCACAGGTTAGTCGTGGAAATGAACACGTTAAAGCGTTGCACATGTTTTCTTTTCCATAGATACACGTATTCTCTTGGAAATAAGTACTATGGGAAGCTCAGCGTTCCGGGCACTTGGGACGCCGTTTCCTCAGTCGCCTTACGGAAGGCTCTGGGGCTGTAAGCGAGAAAGGCCGCCGCCTCCCTCTTTGTGGGGAGAGGCCACGGCCCGCGCAGTCGCAGCTCGCCGGCTCCGGGGCGCGCGCTGATTCCTCCAGCCTGTAGGTGGTGGTGGCGGCGAGGGCGGCCGCCGGGGCCTGTGCGCTCGCGTCTGCGCTTCCTGCTCGCTGCTTCTTTCGGCGGAGGCTCCTCGGCGAAGAGGTAGAAGAAGAGCCGAGCCGGCGCTGCCCCTTGCTCTTCGCCTGCGCTGGGAGCACCGAGTCGGGCCGGCGGGAGGGGGCGCGGAAAGAGAGAGCGGCGGAGGGAGAGAGAGCGGAGCCCAGGCAGCGCAGCTTCCTCTCTCCAAGCGGGCCGCCATGTCGGACGGCGAGAAGCTCAATTTGGATTCCATCATCGGGCGCCTCCTGGAAGGTGAGCCGCGGGGGCCGGGCGCGCAGCGGGCGGGGGGGGACGACCCTTGCCATTGGCTCCGGCGCCGCCGCCCCGCATGGAGAATTGCGCGCGGGGCTGGACTGGGCTGCTGGAGATTCCCGATCGCCCTCCTGCTCCTCTCCCCGCGATGGAATGCGCGGCGGAGGAGGCGCCCCCGCTCACGCTGCTGCTTCATCCTCCGCTGCGAACGCGCGTGGCGGCGAGAAATCCGCGCAGACCCCTGTACTAGCTTTGCACCCACGCACGCAACAGCCACTTTTGCGGGGGGGGGGGAGATGTCTGGTGTGAGTGCTGAACCATTCTCCTTTGTCTCTTTTTTGGGGGGGGATGTTCCTATTAGGTATATCACCAGGGTAAGTTTTGCGTGGATTCAGTGCTCCACACACTTCCTTCTCCCTCCCCCCGTCCACTCCTGTGAAACTCGTAACTCAGGCTGCTCCCTCCCCCCCACAAAGTGAGGCTCTGGCGTGAACTTCCGTGGAGGAAGCGGGGCTGTTAACGCGCCGCAGGGAGGGTCGGGTGACTAGAACTGAATGCAGTAAGACAGCCGTGATCTCGCGTGGGCGCCCTCGGACTCAACTCGGAGCTTCCCCGCTCCGCGAAATCGCTGCTGCCCTCTTTTTGCCGGGTGCGGCTCCCTCCTCGCGGCTTCCCGCTAGGCGAGGCCTGGATAAGGACGGCGGATTTCTGAATCCGAAGCGGGCAACTAGCAGGATGGAGGCTCGGCGAGGGGAATTGGGGGCGGCGGCGCCTCCAGAAGGGCGTGTAGACGCCCGTGGGATTTCCTTGCGCCCGCGTGTCGGGCGGGGGAGCGCCCCTCGCGACGTAATGCGAACAATGACGGCGATGGAACCCTATTGAGCGATTGGGCAAGCATGGCGAGCGTGGGAACCGTGCCGCCCCGATGCTCCGCAGGCGCCGGCGAGGGGAGAGGGAGGCGCTGTTCCTCTTTACGGGGAAATAGCGTTGCTTTTTGGCTCGGCTTTGTGGGCGGGGTGGAGCGCAGGTGTCGGCCCACCTCCCCCTCGGCGACGGTCAGGACCTGGGAGCGGAGCCCGGCGGGGCGGGGCGGATTCCTGTCCGCTCTCGCAGGCGGCTACTGTAGCCTTGGATCCGCGACCAGAGGCCCCCGAAAGGGGCTTGTCCCTAGCAAACCTCTCCACTTCTTCTCAGGTGGATCTGGCCAAGAATCTAGATGGGGCATTGCGCTGGCAAAAACCCCCAGGAAGAAACTAACGGCCCGAAGCCTCAGCATGTTTACTTGAGAGTAGGGCCCACTGAATTCAGCAGTTGGGGAAGACTGGGGTTGTAACCAGTCCAGGGAAAGTGCTGTGTTTTTCCTGGCCAGCTAGATGTACACCTGTGCTGGTGCGATGAGATTTCAGTTTGGCTGGGACTATCCTGAACCACTTCCTTGTAAGGTAGGACGCTTCTGTTCCTGTTGCCCAACTAGAGGATAGAAGCTGAAAGAAAGCAGCAGTGTACACAAGAACAGGCAGTCAGAGTTAAGCTTGCTTGGGTTTGCCCAGCAGGCCTTCACCTGGCATAGTAGTATTAGTCAGCATTGGTTACTCATAGGAACATAAGAAACTGCCTTGTACGGAGTCGGACCATCAGTTCATCTAGCTCTCAGATTGTCTCCACCAACTGGAAGCAGCTCTTTTGGGTTCCCTGGAGATGCCAGGAGTTGAACATGGGATCTTTTGCAATCAAAGCTGATGCTCTGCTTGCGATGTGGGTTTAATGAGAAAAATAAAATTAAAAATATTGCACACACACTGTGCATATTAGGAAAAAACACATCGGGACATTTCTAGAGGCCTTTAAACAGCATGTTTATTTAGTTGCATTTAGTAATCAGAAGTATTTAAAAACAAAAACCTCCCAAGTTTGCCTAATATTTGGGATCCAATCCTTATTACTGGTGGCCTTATGAAAGTTCCTTTGTAACTATTATAAAATTGAGTTGTCTGCACCAGCCTATTCCAGATGGTGGTGGGGCTTTCTGGTAGCATAGCTGCAATTCCAAAGCTCTAGGTTTTCACATGCCAGCGCCGTGTACTGATCCTGCTTGTTTTGCTCTGCTGCTCTTGTCCCCATGAGCATGGCTAAAGGTGGTGAATTCCTTTAAAAAGTAGCCACCTGCATTTTTGAGATTTTTGGACTCCTCCTAGTGTCTTGTAATGCTTCTGTACCAGAGGGTATAGGTCAGACTGGCAACAGACTTGCGGGGAGGGGTGGGAGCAGGAAAACTACCAGCCTCATGTCTGGCAATGAGTAACGTAGGTACTGGAACAGAAGTCCCGCTAAAGTAAATAATGCAGGTGTGGTGCAGCTTTAGGCCTTCTAATGTGATAAGCGAAGGTTTCCAATACTAGCCTCTTGAGGCACTTATATATTGGTGGACTTCAAGGGAGCTGGCTTCGCATGTCCTGCCCAATTCTCCTTGCCATCCCAAAGTCAAGAATGCAGCTCTGCCTCTGGTGACGCGACAATCTCCATGGCATGGAGAGGAAGTAAATTTGGACAGGGCACCAGGACTGTTTCCAGAGAGGAGAGCACTGGGAATGTCTCTGTGAAGGAGGTGCGAGTGGGGAAGACTGGCGTTTACGAAGGATGGGGCGGCATGTGTTGCAGATGTCAGATGGCATGTTTTGGTTTTCCAGTGCAAGGCTCGCGCCCGGGCAAGAATGTGCAGCTGACAGAAAACGAGATTCGGGGCCTGTGCCTGAAGTCGCGAGAAATCTTCTTGAGCCAGCCCATCCTGTTGGAGCTGGAAGCCCCGCTCAAGATTTGCGGTAAGTTTCCAACCTACTGTTTAGTACAGCTGTCAGCCTATAATTGCTCAAGCGGGATAAATCTGAAATGCATCTCAATATTTTGGTAAACTGGGAATACCTATATCCCCCTCCCCACGAGTGGCTTTTGTTCATCATACTTTTATTCAATCTGTGGTGTTTACATTCATGTATGTATGTATTCGTTAAGTTCTGCCACATCTGTACTGTTTTTGGAGATGGGTGGTAAGTTAATGCTATTGCTGCTGCCTCAGCCAAGGTCCTATGCTAGTGGGGCACTGGCCCATGGCCCAGGTGGTTTGAGAGGCCCACAGACCTCCCCTCCAAGACTGCAATCTGCCTGCTCACTCTGTAGGTCACTTAACCTCGCCCCTGTCTGCCAGTGATGAACCTTCATCTGATTCCCTGTTCATTTTGGTTTCAGGCAAGTTGACATTAGGAAGGGGCAAAAGTCACAGGGAGGTGTGAATTAAAAGTGGCAGAAGTCAGAAGAAAGTGAGCAAAATGAAAAGGAAAGTGAGAGGGAGACAGGCAATATCAGCAGGTGAAAGGAAGTAGAAGGAGGGGAGAAGATGAAGAAAGGAGGACAGTAATATTTGAGAACGTAAAGAAGCAGAGAGGAAGAGGTAAGGGGTGGGGCTAAGAGTGGAGAAGGGGTGGGGCATGAGGACATGGAGAGGACAAAGGGGTTCACTGGTACCCTGTGCATAAGACCTCAGTAACCTGGACCTGGACCTGTGCCGCCGCCTCTTCCTTAGAAACACCTCAGACCCTTGCAGCTGAGAGGAGGAAAGAGGATCATCTGCATTTGTACCCTTCTTGGTCTCTTGCTCTCTCCCCTGCTCAGAAAAAGAGCTGTGTTATGATCCGTCATACATTTCCAACAGTTCCATCAGCGCTCCTCTTCTGTTATCAACTGCCCCCTCCCCTTTTCCAGGTGACATCCACGGGCAGTACTATGACCTGCTCCGACTCTTTGAATACGGGGGCTTCCCCCCAGAGAGCAACTACCTCTTCTTGGGTGACTACGTGGACCGAGGGAAGCAGTCGCTGGAGACAATCTGCCTGCTCTTGGCCTACAAGATTAAATACCCTGAGAACTTCTTCCTGCTGCGGGGGAACCACGAGTGTGCCAGCATCAACCGCATCTATGGCTTTTATGATGAATGTGAGTGCAAGGCTCCTATTTAGAACTGTGGGTATGCAAGTGTGGAGGGTGGAGAGAGGATAGGGATGGGGAACCAGAGGACCGGGGTCTAAATGTGGCCCTCCTAACCTGTCAATCTAGCCCCCCAGCATCCGTCTGTCCTTACTGGGATGCTCTTCTTTCTCTTCCTTCCCCCTGACCCTAGCCCCCTACATTGCAGGAGCATGGCTCCTCAAAATAGCCCCTTCTTTCTCTTTCTTTCTCTCTCTCTCTCTCTCCTTGCTAACGTTTCCCGATCCCCCCACTTTTTGCAGGTAAAAGGCGCTATAACATCAAACTGTGGAAGACCTTCACGGACTGCTTCAACTGCCTGCCTATCGCTGCCATCGTCGATGAGAAGATCTTCTGCTGCCATGGAGGTGGGCCAGCCCCAGAAAAGATGGGGATTGGGTTGGAGGGGAGAAAATGCTGCTCCTGCTGCCTGGTGGCAGACACTGGCGACTGTGTTTGCGTGGCCTGTCCCAGGTGGTTTGCAACCAGCAGTGTCTCTGGCAAAGAACAAAAGCTGCTGCAGCCACAGGCCGTGGGAGCAACCTACCTTGGAATTAGGTGCCTTGGCACATGGTGAGCTGGCGCTCTTCCTCGGGGAGCGGGCAGAATAAAAGCCCGGGGAAATGTTTACACGAATGGGAAGAAGGTCAAGACTTTTTACAAGGGTTTCATCATTTATTCATTTGTTTTTACTGTGGAGTTTGGAGCGAAGGCTTTCCCCAGGTCTCTTTTGGCCCACTGGGAGAGCATCAGTTCAGCGCGTGTTTGGCAGGGGTGGATAGGATTCGGGCTTGCAGGATTTGTTTTGTTTGTTTATCGGCACCATAAAATTCAGTAACTGGAGGCAGGTGGACAATAGTGGCTGCTGGCAGAGGCAGCTGCCTCCTCCACCCAGCGAGCTCCATATTCTGTGACCTGCATAGACAAGTACACATTTGCAGCTGGGTTGCTCCAGATAAGGGAGTCCAACACACGGGTTTAAAACCATCCAACAGAGCTGCACAGACCTGGTTGATGGCAACCAGTTATTACTTATATTTTATAGGTGAGGAGCACGGAGGCTGAGAGACTAGCAATTAGTAGAAGGCCAGGCATGGAGGAGACTTTAAAAAAGAAGAACTTGCAGCTTTAAGGAACTGTGTGCAATCCTAAGCATATTTAGGGAAATAGGATGCCAAGGATTGAACCTGCTGCTCTACCTACCACTGAGCTAAGGATTGCTGTGGCTGAAATATATACAACTTGTCCATGGATCAGGCATGTAGGTTTGCAAACAGCTGCAGCCCCTCTTTTTTTTTCGTGCCGTTTGTAAATAATGAGGAATTGGAAACCACCATTGATCCTTACAAATCATCCAAAAATTTATCAGGCTACCTTCTGCGCACTCATGCTGTAGAATACTTAATTCCATTTAGCTTTTCTTTCTCTGTAATTTCCTGATACTGCTTCTTTTTTCCTTCTTGCAATGTGTCAAGACACAAAGTAGCAGTTGGGGTTAGTTAAGGGAAGAGTATGTGTAGAGGGGCAGGCCCAGCCCTATCATTAGGCAGAGTCAGGAGGCTGCCATGGGGAGATGATACTGGGTGATGTAAAAGGGCAGCAAATGGCTGTTTTGCTTTATTAATATTTTTAACTGTAGGAGAAGTTTGTGTAATTTTTCTGCCTTGGGCGCCAGAATAACTTGGCTGGCCTTGGATACTATATGCCTTGACTCAAGGAGGGGGTGGGTGCCATTCGCTGCTCTGCCTCAGGCAGCAAAATGGCTTGAGCTGGCCCTGGCAGAGGGTATAAACTTGGCACAACTCCCCTCCCCACCTGCTGTCCCTTGGCAGCATTGACAGTATGTATACCTTGTTTTCCAGGGCTCTCGCCTGACCTCCAGTCCATGGAACAGATTCGGCGGATCATGAGGCCCACGGATGTCCCTGACCAGGGCCTGCTCTGTGACTTGCTGTGGTCTGATCCTGACAAAGACGTGCAGGGCTGGGGCGAGAATGACCGTGGGGTCTCCTTCACCTTTGGCTCAGAAGTTGTCGCCAAATTCCTTCACAAGCACGACCTGGACTTGATCTGCCGAGCGCACCAGGTTGGGGCACTGAGGCCGCCCTGGAAGAAGGGAGGGTGTCTGTGCCTGGGCTGTGGGAGTGGGAACAGGAGAAGAGCCCTGCTGCGTCAGTCAAGGGCCCATCTAACCTGGCCCAGGGGAACTACAAGCAGGACATGGGGAATATGTACATACTATGCCTGCTTCACGGTTAATTCTCTGCCCTCTCCCTCTGTTTCTCTTTGCCTTCCCTCTCCAATAGGTGGTAGAAGATGGCTATGAGTTTTTTGCCAAACGGCAGTTGGTGACCCTCTTTTCTGCCCCGAACTACTGTGGGGAGTTTGATAATGCAGGTGCAATGATGAGTGTTGACGAGACTCTTATGTGCTCCTTCCAGGTAAAGACTATTGAGCATAGCAGTTTCCTCTTTTCCTGTTGCCAGTACTCTACCCACTTCTGATAGTGTGCGGGTTGTAAAGGAGGATAGAAGCCTTAAAAAAAAATAGAGGCAGATTTTTTGGTGATCCACTATCCTGATGCTGGATGCCACATAAGATGTGTGGGACCTCAGGATATGAACACCCCTCTTTTGATTTTAAATGTATCATATAAATTATCGGTCCTATTTCAAAATGGTTTTCTGTATGCTGAATCGCTTATCAGGATAGGTTTCTGTACAAACGTGAACTGGAATGCCCAAATAACCAGCCTTCTGGGGCTACAGTAATTTATTTTTTAATGTGAAACTTGTTTACATTCTTCCATTGGGAGCTCTTCCAGTTAGCTTTTGCCCAGTGCTCTTCTAGAGCTCTCTGCTATTTTTAACTAGGAAAAAAATCCCAAAGCCACAGGGTGATATAATATGTATGGAAGAAATTCAGTGTTGTGCTCTTCTAATTGTTCCATCAGCACAAATACCCCTAGGTGCTGTCTTGAGGGGAGAAGGGAGAATGGGATATAAAAACCCCACCGAGGCAGCTTTTACAGTACATTTTATTTATTTATGTACATGAAATACAATTACCTTAAAACGATAGTATAAAAGTGATCATGAAACAGTTAAAAGAACAATAAATAGATGAATTAACACTGTATTTTAGCTTAAAAGATTTAAAAATTATGCCAGAATTAGCAGTATCAAAAAGCTACCAAGAAAGAAAACATGTATTGAAATAGATTAGGTCTTAAGGCCTGTTTAAAGACCTGGATTTAAGTGCTAAAAATCTGACTTAAGAGGGCTTCAGTCCTTGTTTTGTTGCTTTGATTATTTAGCAACTGAACGAAAGGTAAAATGGGGTTGTGGGTTGCAATGAGACACTAAACTTTTACCCTGAAACTAATCTTTTCTCTCCTATCCCCTTCCCCACCCCTCATTTCTTGAATTCTACAGATCCTGAAACCGGCTGACAAGAATAAGGGCAAATATGGCCAGTTCAGTGGATTGAACCCTGGTGGGCGCCCAATCACTCCGCCACGCAACTCTGCCAAAGCCAAGAAGTAACTAGCCCTGCCTGCCCCCCTAGCTGTAGGTGTGGGGCCCAGGCTGTCTTGCGTAGCGGTTACAGTGTACAGCGGCTGCTTACCTCCCCAGGGCCCAGCCATGTAATTTTTTTAAAGAAAACGGCTGAATAAGAATTCAATACCAAAAATTCTGCTCCCCTGGGATTGGGGATGTCTTTATTTTTGGGGGTATTTTTGATTGACTTTTTTGCCAACTTTGTCCAGATGTGTGCTCCCCCCTTTCCCCCACGGGGGGTTACTACATCTTTTTGAATAAACATGTAAGATTCTTATGTAGCTGCTCCTTTGTCAACTGTTTGGGGAGAATAAAATGAATGGGGCTGCATGATGCGGCTTGGAGGATGAAACAAGCTCTCCTTAGGAGGTGTGGAGGAGAGGATGTTGGAACATTCAGGACAGATAAAACGAAGTCTTCCTTCCACAGTGCCTAGCAAAACGGTGGAGCTTGCTTCCATTAGATGTAGTGGTGGCCAACAGCTTTGATGGCTTGAAAAGGGGATTAGGCAAATTCATGGAGGGTAGGGCCTCCTGATAGCTGTAGTAGAGGTGACATGCCTCTGCAATACCAGCTGTTTGGAATCTTACAGTAGGGAAAGTGCAGTTATGGGCTTCCCAGAGGCATATGGGATGCTGGGCCAGATGGGGCTTTGGTGCAGCAAGGCTGCACACACATTCTTAGAAATGGGAGCAAGTTACACGATCAAGACGAAGCATCTTAAAAGACATCTTGCCCTCTATCCCCAGTTACCTCTCCATATTTCACCTGCTAAAATCCCTTTGCACTTTGGCTGACATGGAGCCATTTGTGACTACCTTTGCAGGTTCCTCTGCTTACCAGTTTTAAGACTTTCATGTTGAAAAACTGGCTTGTTTCGGTATCTCTCTAGTCCAAGTTTTCTTCACTAACTACCACCTATATCTTATTCTCCTCACCTACCTGCATTGCCTGCAAGCTTTAAATGGAATAGAGAAGCTGAGCTATGCAGTGGCACTATGTGGTAAGACAGTCCCTTTCGTAGAGGCATGAAGGCTTCCTAGCTCTGAAGAGCATAAGTGTATGTGGCATGAATAGCATGAGCTGCGCAAGGGACCCTAAAGATGCAGACAAGGTCCTTATTTTAGATTCTTCTATATCCATTAGCTCACACAGACCAGTGGATTGGGAATCGGTAAAATACTGTGTGCTAATGCACCCAATTTAGATTCCAGTAGGGCTGTCCTGAAAGCTCCCATGATACTTTTAACACATGATACTCCTAACCGGGTTATGTAACACCACCTCCTTGCCGTAAGCTGTTTAAGGGAGCCTTTGCCCCTGTCTTCTTAATGTGAATTGGTCCGTTGTTGCTTGCTTAATCTCTAGTTAAATCCCAAGCCACAGCACAGTTATCAGCAGTTTGTAGGAATTAGCTGTGGTCCTCAGCCAAGGCAATCCTGCGGGGCTTAAGCAGTGCCTATCCAGTAGAATAGAACTAGAGGCCTACTAAGGACAGATATTTTGGGCCAGGAAAGGCAAGAGTTCTTATTAGATAGCTAACTAACAGCATCTTGAACTACACTGACAGGGTGGGGATTGATTCTGCATTAGGAGTGGGATTCAGCTGATGAATCCCACCAGTGGAAATTGCGCAAGGATTTCCGCTTGTACAACATGGTTCCCCCATTGCAAAATAAGCTCTGGGAGGTGTTAGGAGAACCCCTAGAGCAGCACAGGATGAGGATTGTTCTACCTGGCAGGCCAAAATGCGATAAGAGCACAATGCTGACTTCCTCCCCTGGATTCCATCTGGAAAAGACATCAGGCCTGCACTGTGGATGGGCACTGTTGTTTTACCAGAGGGACGGACTTCTTAAAGTGCCTTTATATTGTGGCAACAGAGGATAACAAAGTACGTTTGCCAATAATTCTGATGCTTGTAGTTAGGGCTTAAATATATTCACCTGCCTGCAGAAGTAAAGAGGAAATAGCAATGCTCTCCTTTGCTACCTCCTGTGCTTTACATAGTACTGCAGTTTACTAATACCACCCTGGCTGCTACAGATCCCTTTCCTGTAATCATCCTTCAATTCCCATCTGCCCGACAGCTAAATTATAGGTTTAGCAATGAAACAGGTTAATTACAAGGGAGGAAGAGAAGGCTGGCTCGAGAGGCGTTGAGTGGAAGGCAGTAAAAAGAAGGCTACAGCAACTGATGGATAACCACAGTAACAATTCACACCACAGTCAAAACATCTTAAAAAAATTTATTAGATAATAAGTATTCTATGTCTATGGATGTTAGCCACAAACCCACTGGAGGAAGGTCTAATCTCTCGCAGCCGCCTCCCTTTCAAAGACGTGCAGTAATAATTTAGCAAACAAGGTAGATCTATGTGTCTGTCTCAATGTGGTTCTATCTACAGAAGGTTTTTTTCTCCATGATGGAAGAACTGCACAATTCAGCGCTGATTCTCGGGGGAGCAGCAGGAGAGCTGAAGAGGGGCAGCCTGCGATCCAACCCAAAAGAGGGCTCAAGCTGCTTAGCTTGAAACATCTCATTTCTAGCAGTAGAGGTGTCTTATCATGCACCAGTAGCTGGGGGACCACTCACGTTTCTCCCTCACTGTCTTCTGCTAACACCTCTTGGCTTGTACATGAGTGGACCAAGGGCTGTGATGGGCTGAGGACCGACCCAAAGAACAAGGAGCGGAACTGCAAATGAAACAAAAGCAGGGCAAAGACATGTCTTGGGGGTGCAGGTTTGCAAGAGATCTAAAAATAGTACATTGTTGATATACCAGAATCTTGCAAGGTTGATACTATTAAAAATGTATTATGTTAAGAAAGCCATAGAAATATACTTGAAAATAAGCATATGACATTCAGTGGGGGGCATGTTGTGGTCAGGACCTGAGTGTTCAACTAGTTTCCATGTTCCTCCAAACCACTCCCAAACTAACAGCATCTCTTAAGTGTCTAGTTTCTACCACACCCTACCGATTCCCTTCCACTGTCTTAAAAAACCCAGATTTTGCAATCGTGCCATTACCAAAGCTTGACTGCTGGCACTGGAATTCTATGGCTCTGCTCCAGCTACAGATAGTCATGATTAAGGGCCAATGAACAAGCAAGCTGTTAAGTGACTGCAGCCTCTTTGCTTTCCATGGAAGTCTAGTTTCAATGAACTTTAACTGAATCAAGAAAGGGATGTGCAACATATTACAGCTCTAGCAGGTACATACAGTGGTGCCTCGCAAGACGAAATTAATTCATTCTGCGAGTTTTTTTGTCTTGCGAGTTTTTTCGTCTTGCGAAGCACGGTTTCCCAAAGTCTTCAAAATCACCAAAGTCTTCAAAAACCTCAAAAAAGGCTACCACACCGTGTGCTATGAGTTGCTCCTCGAAGTCACCCTGGGTATTAACGGTGTTAAGAACAAGGAAACAAACTTGCAAGACATTTTCGTTTTTCGTTTTCGTCTTGCGAAGCAAGCCCATAGGGAAATTCGTCTTGCGAAGCAACTCAAAAAACGAAAAACTCTTTCGTCTTGCGAGTTTTTCGTCTTCCGAGGCATTCGTCTTGCGAGGTACCACTGTATTCCAAGGCTCAACATGCACCCTCTTGTGACCTGTACTGTGTGGATGCACACTGCCGAAACAGACTGCCTATCATGCCTTCCTGTACTGAAACAGATTCCACCTTTTTTAGCCTCCTGCATTATGGGTACATTCTGAACCACTGAATGCACACCCACTAAAATTGTAAAGTGGTCAAGAGATCTGCAGGGCCACAGTGCATCACACTTTCCACTACACATTCATGCTCTGATCCCTCTGCACGTACCCGTTTTTGTGGCGGTGTGCCAGGCACAGTTCCCTCAGGATCGCTTTCCAACTCCCTTGTATCAGAAAAGGTGCGTCTTGAGGGGAAGGTGGGGCTGGGAGGGGCTTCTGCCCCCTCTGTGCCATCGCAGGTGGTTTCCATGGCTATCATGTAGGCATCAATGTCATCACCGGCAAAATCGTAAGCAGGCTTGGATGTGCTGGCATGAGAGAGATAGGAGCAGAGCTGTGAGGAAGCACTTTCTGTGAAGAGACACCCCAACAAATAGAAATGGTTTCTTTTTGGGGACTCATGACTAAGGTGTTTGTTTTATTGACCAGAGGGTTCTAAGAGAGAAATTCAATAAGCTAGAAGGAAATCATAGGGTTGGAAGGGACTTCATAAGGCCTTCATCTCTCACATCCTTATCCATTTAAGCAAGCCCCAGTTCCAAACACATTGACACAAACTACCCAAGTTTAAAAGGCTAAAAATGACAAAATGCTTAACAGAAAGCTGAGACACTGAACTGTTCCAAGAGTAACCAAGGCAACCGTATATAGCTGCTAAGATGGTAGCTCAGGTCAGGACTGGAAAATGACAGGCAGATCTGTTCACTCTGCTATAAAAACACATATGACAAAATGATGCCAAGAGCACAGAATTAATCCTTTCTATGTGCCAAGCAGAGACTGTGTTCCTACCGAATATGTCATTGTCCTCTGGGATCCTCCCCGCACCCTGTTCCACTTCAGGGCGTGCCAGATTTTGTGGTGCAGGAGCTTCAACCCTGCTTACCTGTTGTTGTTCTTCTGTGAACTCTCTCTCTCAGCCAGAGTGGCCAAGACCAGGTGCACGTTCAGCACAGGGTCCTCCAGGGTGAAGATAGCTGGCCTGCGAGGAGAGAACTGGTGAGAGCAGGATTCTCAAGACACAGGCTTGGGGGCTAAAGGGGAATCAAGGGGGGATGGCAAAGAAAGCTACAGCTAATGGAGACAAGGACCCTACTCTTGCAATGAAGCAAACAAAGTCTGGCTGCTGGCTGTTACAGGACTGGCAACAAGTCAGGGCTGCTCTTCTGGACAACCTCACAAGATCAGAACAAAGGACCATCTGGTCCAGCACTCTCATTTCTGCAGTGGCCAACCAGGTCCCCCTAGGAAGCTTGCAAGCATGATGGCAACTAACCCTCCCATGCAGATGTTTCCCAGCAGCTGGCATTCAGTGGCCTCCTGCAGACGGGAGTTTCATTTAGCCACGAAGGTGCTTCCCCTCCAGAACGTCCCTCGTGAAGGCCTACCTGCCAGGGATGTCAAAGTGGATGTTGAGGGGGAGATTTGAGGACTCAGCAAAGCTCAGGAGGCCCTGTTAGAGATAGGTGAAACGGGTTGGAAAGAGCACAAGGCCACCCATTTCAAATGAGGGCGAGGAGAGGGGAAGCAAACTCACCCGGAATTCCTTGAGGCAGAAAGTGACCTGCGTCTCTTCCTTGACTTGGAAGGCCTGGAACTCGTCCTCGCTCAAACAGAGCTCAGTCACCATCATCCGGCTGGGCTCTGAGGGAGAGGTGAGGATCAAATTAGGCCCTTGTTTGACAGCTACCACTGTCTACGCTTCCCACAAGAAAACTGCTAAAGAGAAACTGCTAGCCACATAAAGGCAGGCCAGGGACCCTGCAGGAACTCTCCACCTCCTATCATCCCCAGTTGCACAAATAGGATGCCCTCATATGTGATCTAAAGGTTCCTGAGATGGGCAAATTAAGTATCATCTCCTTTGATGGGCTCTGGGGATAAGATGGAAGCCGGTCATGGCGGACAGCTCACCTGTCTCTTCTTCCAGGTAGCTGCGCAAGGTCACCTTCCCAGAAGGGCTGGCACCCAGGGTCACCTCAGCCTGTGTCAATGGAAAATGCACCACAGCATCCACCAATAGCCTGAAATAGATGAAGGAGGGGCAGAGAAAGGGGCTGAGAGGGGGAAGTGGCTTTCATGGCTGAACATCCCCACTTTCCTTCTGCATATAATACTCTTTGCCTTAATTAAAGAACCATGGCACAGCATCAGCCCACACAAAGCATCCGTTGATTCCCAGACCCATCGGCAACCCATGTTCCTCATTCCTTCCACGCTGCAGTTGATGCATCTTTAGTATAAGTCTATGCACATCAATTGCAAGAACCTTCATCCATCCCTTTCCCTTCTCCGTATACTGCAATCTCTCTCAACCATACCATGGTCTCACCTGGGAGGGGCATGAAGAGAATGAGCGCACTGCCCTGTGTCAAAGACTGCCTGCAGGGATTCACAGTCCTGGAATGACAAGTCATGGGTCTTGATGACACCTGCAGAGACATAGATAAAGAGTGTCACAGTGGGAAATGGCTCCAGGGCATTCTGTCTCCCAGAAGACTCTGAGCAGCGCAAGGAGCAGACATAAGGAGAAGGCAGCAATGGTCTACCCCACCCAAGGCCTAAAATGGAAAACAGCAGCAGCCACCAGACATTGGGGATGGAGGAAAAACTCTAATGAAGTATTTTCTTTCTTTCTTTCTTTCTTTCTTTCTTTCTTTCTTTCTTTCTTTCTTTCTTTCGAAATACTTTTTAAAGCCTTGTTTTAAAATGGAATTGTTACAGCCAGTTCATGTTGCTACAAATCTTTAGATTCAAGATGCATAGATAGTGACTGGATTACTGCATGAGCAACACCTGTCACTGGAAAAGTGCTTTTGATTGTTGCAGAATGCCAAGACACCTTCAGGTTAAATGTCCCAATCTGGAAGTCTGCCAGGCACACCGCTCCTGTAGGGTGGAAGCAAAGCTTTCATACAGCACAGCCTCCATCTCCTCTTGCTTCTCATGCATCTCAAGATTCCTCCATCTTCTGCATTAAGTGAAACGGGCTGATCAGTGGTTGAACCACCAAATTGCCGTGTGAAAGAATGGAGAAGTGAAAGAACTGAGAAGCTTGTTTCTATTCATACGAACTTTTCTTTTCCCCATGAAGTTTAAAGCAAAAGCGCAGAGGGATTTCAAATGAGGACTCTGATTAAATGAAATAAGCTTATGCTAGCGTTTTCAATGGAAATGCTGTTCACTGGGATAGAGAAAGATAAAAGTAGATACAATAAAAGAAGCACAAATAAAGCTAGGATTAGTGGGCTTTGCCTACCATTGGCTCTGGCTTCTCCTCCTTCTGGCCTGCCAGTTTCAATAGGCACTAGCCACCACTGGTGAGAACCCTCACATTTGGGAGACATCAGTCACCGCTGTGTCCCTACCCTCTGCCCCCATTAGAACAGGACCATGATCTTCAATTATGCTTTTTTGCAGAAACTAGCTAGGATCCTTACTCAGGGTTGTGGATTCTCTGCATTTCTTTGCTCCTCAGGATTAAGCAAGGCAGAGGGCTCATGACTCACAAAACTGATCTTCACTGGATTCTCCCTTCCTTGGTTGCTCCCTTTCTTGGTTGTATTATTTTCTCCCCATGCACTTGGAACATCTCATGGCCCTGTCTCCTAACTCAGTACTGGCAGCCTGATGGACTGCACTGGAGATGGCACTCAAGGCCACACTTTCAGCCACATTTATCCCTACCATATTAGCTGTGATTTTTGCACTGCAGGGGATTAGACTAAAGGACCCTTTGGGTCCCTTCCCAGACTATATTTCAAGGATTCTACATCTTCCAGTGTATCACTCTGCACCCCCAAGTAGGGCTCCTCCTCTCCCCCACCCCCAACACTCACCATATTTGCAGTACAGCTTCACACGGAACCGGCTATGGTGGGAACTGAGCGAGATGAGGCATTTCTCCACCGTCTTCTCCAGTGAGGGGAGTGAGCGGAAGATAGCCAGGAAAGACTGGAGGCAACGAGAAGGAAAGCCAGAGTTCTGTGCATGTGGTTTCCTCAAAAGGGAAAGCCAGGAGCAAAGTGGGGCAGTGGTTAGTGTCTGACTAGGCCTGGGGAGACTCAGGTTCATATCTCCACTTAGCTTCAATGTGTCATCTTGGGCCAGACACTATCTCTAGGCTTATTCTACCTCACAGGTTTGTCATGAGGATAAAACGGAGGGGAAACAGAGACCACCTATGCCACAGAGAGGAAAGATGGGATATAATGAATGTAATGAAGAGAAAAAAAACACTCTACTGCTGAAACCACTAACTTTGTCTCAGAGAACTGAGCTGGGGTGCTCTGATTCTGGCAGAGTTACTTCCAGGAGCAGTAAAAACAATTCAGTTTTGAAAGTCTGCACAAATACTGCTTTCTTGCCACTTAGTTGAGCAACAATTGGGAAGTGCAATGACCTTAATGTGAGCTGCAGATGGAGCTTGGAAGGCATTCGTTTCTTTAAGCCTTGGAAAGTATTTGTGGCAATCAACAGAGGGTGCACAGAGGGTGAAAAATCACAGTGGCTTATAAAAATAACCTGTATATTGAAAGCTCTCCTCCACCCTGAAACACACAGACACCAAAAACATTCTTCTACCTATCTTTGCACTGCTGAATCAGGCCAAGAATCCATCTAAAGCAGCGTTCCAATGACCATGGTCATCTAGATGCTTCTGAGAAGCTAGCAAGCAGGGCATTAAGGCAATGTCCTTTAGTTTTTTTCCCTTAGCATTGTTACTCAGAGGTATATTGCTCCTCAACCTGGAAGTTCCATTCAGCATCATGTCTAATACTTACTGAGACACCTATTACTTCACCATCTTATCAGAACAGAACTCAGGGAGATGGAAAATCCTTGACTTGGAAGGATCTATGCAGCACAATATGGAACACATTTCAACCACTCAACCCACTGAGTGCCTGCTGCTTTGCTTAAAAAAACAATAGTGCATGTGAAAAAAATAACTAAATGTCAGAGAATTCCTTAGCCAAGCCTCTTCTCTGACATGCCATTTTTGCAACTATGCAGTGATTTTTCATCACTATCACCTGCAGTACAAAGTGGTTCAAATGGGGTGTTTGTGCAGACCAGGCCATCATTGGTGCTTGCAAAGAGAACTATAGGCAACAAGTACCAGGTTGGAGTTCATTGGTCTTCTGATAAAAGCCTGCATTGCCCCATTCTGACCTTTCAACAGCCCCATGTGGGCCCCTCACCTTCATGAGCACTTTGCACCGGAAACCACCTGCATCCAAGTCAGATTCCGATTCTCCTGGCTGGTAGAGCTGGAAGAAGAGCGGGGCAAACAGGAAGCAGGCGTAGGCAGAGCGGGATGCATTGACCGTACGCAAGGAGAGCTGGGGAAACAAGGATGGGAAGTGTCATTAACTCCATCATTGTCACAGAGAAGATTCCCCACACCCCTCTTAGCTTCCTTGTCCTAAGTAGTTCAAATCCTGCTTTCTAAAGACACAGCATTGCTGCCTCCAAAACAGGACAAACTTGCATCATCAAACAGCTCCCAGCACATACAACATGCTAATCAATGAGATAGCTGCAATGGCTTAGGCCAGAGGAACCTGTGGCTCTCTGGATGCTGCGGGACTACAACCCCCATCTTCCCTGACCCCTAGATGTGCTGGCCAGGACAAGTGGGAGCTGGCAGTCCAAGTCCAAGATCGCATACCCCATCCCCAGCCATGCAGAGTGATTGCAATACCAGGATAGTGTTGCTGCTCTGCAACAGAGACTCCCCTCACTTAGCTCGCAGATGATGTCTCACTGATAAACGTTCCATTCTGAGAATTATAAGCAATAAACACACTAGACAGACCCTCCCTAGACCTCCCAGCCTGTCACCTTACCCCTTCTTGAAGAGGCTCAATGTAGATTTCATCTCCGACACGGGAAAGAGAGTGCACCGCTTTCCCCAGGGCTGCACAAGAGACAAAAGAACACTGAGAAGGTATGGATCAACATAAGCCTCTTCCGATGTCTGATCTTGCATTCCACCTCAGCCTGCCTCTTTGTGCAGGCTGAGACCATCCCCTGCAGAATCCCTCATTAAATAACCACCTGGGTCTATTATTTACTCAGAAGCCCCAGACATGCCAAAACACGTGTCATTCTTCTCATGTCACACTCCCATACAGGTATCATAACCCCACCCTCCACACACACACACACACACACACATTCTCACTGGCTATCGTCTCATCAGGAAAGTCCCCTTATAACAGGGGTAGAGAAGCTGTAGTCCATGCATTGATGGACTACAACTCCCATCATCCCTGACAGATGGCCTTGCTGGTTCTGATGGGAACTGAAGTCCAGCTAGAGAATGACAGGTTCCCTACTCCTGCCTTCACAGGTTTAGAAGCTCATTTCAGGAGGCTTCCCTTCTTCCTGTAACCATACAGGAAGCCCCTTTCCTGGTCAAACATCAAGCAATAGTCAACTTTGCCCACCCCAAATCCAAATAGTTAATCTTGCCTCACCTTTCACATTGCCCCCAGTAATTGTGCACTTCATGCCAAGGCAGAGAAGCCTCAAAGTTCCCCCACACCAGACACAAGGTGGGGGGAACTAAACATCCGGTGTATTCACCAAGTACACTGTAGCCAGCTCTGTTTTCTAATGGAAGGAACTCCCCAGAACTCCAAGTAGATGCTGAGGGGTGAGGAGAAAGAGAATGTATATGTACACATACATCACACATACATTGTTACAACTAACCATTTCATAGACTGCTTCTACACACCAAGGATAAGCTCCACTAGTATTGTGATCATCAGAACACTTTGAAATCAAGTATAACCCATTGCGACTGGAGTTTTTATTTCCTATTTTTTCCAGTTGCCTTCCAAAGCAAAGTTCTAATCTAATAGTTTGTAAGTAAGTAAGTAAGTAAATAAATAAATAAATAAATAAATCATTTTCTGACACAGACGTATTGTAAGATTCCCCAATAGTTTACAAATTCATTCCCCCTCTACCCCATTAACATAAAAGTTAAATGAGGCATACTTTTAAAGGGTTTATAGGAACTATAAGTAGAATTTAAATTGCACGGCTGGAGGATTTGGATTGCACTATGCCATTCTGAAAATTAAAACCATCTCCCCCAGAAGGTGCTATTTGCCCTATGAGGGAAAATATACAGCCTTAGCACAGCACGCGAGCAGGCAGCTCAGCTCAGGGGCGGCTCGGGGGCCGGTCAAACAACCTCCACCTGCTGCTTCTGGCCCATGGGCCTTAGGTTGGTGACCCCTGGTTTAATCTTTTCTTACCTATGCCCCTGCTTATGTTGCTCACCATCCCAGTTAACCCCTCCCCTTTACAACTCACCCTGTCCCTCCTTCTTCCTTTACAGTTCACCCAGGTCCCATCCCCTCACACCTTGCACTTCAGACTTTCTCCCCTCCCTGCCCAGCACCACCAGTGGTGATGGTGATGATGACGACAGAGAGATCTTGGCTGCTGTTTTCTCTCCTTCCCAGATCAGCAGCCAGTGTTCTCCTTTGCTCCCCGTCCCACTGCCAGCATCATGACAGTCTTACAATTTTACTGCATGCTAAAAGCTTTGTGGGCCAAGGAGGGGCAGGGGGGCAGCTGCCCCCCCCCAATCCTGGCTATGCCCATGTGGACTTTGCAAGGAGTCATTCCTTTTGCATGGCAGCACCTTTACATTAGAAGTGCCAATTCTGAAGATCAAAGGAATGCAAGGAATGCAGTTCACACATATTGGGTAAGTAAACTGATCTGAAGGCCTTATGGGCTTTATATACCAAGAACAGCATCTTGAACTCAGCCCAGCACTGAACTGTCCAAAGTTTGCAAAAGGCACTCCTAGCCACTGAGGCCCCCAGTGACAGGGGGTTGGACTAGATGACCCTCAGGGTCCCTTCCACCTCTACAATTCTATGACAAAGTCGGATCCAGGAGCACTCCAAGCTTGAGTGCTTTTCATTGATGCAGCAAAATGCCTAGAAAAGATACTGAGAAGTAGATTTGTCAGTCCATTCACCTAGCAACTGGCTTAACACTTTCGAGAAACCTTTCTCATCTCTGCGTTGGCAACTGTGCATGGGAACAAACAGTGTTCCTTAGGCAGACTGATTTGGCCCTGGGGGTGCGGGCGTCCAGAAAGAGGGTAACAGTTTCAAGAGCGCGTGCAAGAGGGGAAGGGTTCTTGTCCCTGGACAAAATAAGAGCGCCTCAGGACAGAAGCTGCATCTGGTGACCTTGCCACACGGCGCGCTCCAGAGGCACAGGCACATTCCAGAAGGGTCGACGTTGGCAACCCAAAGCTGGAGGAAGGAAATGCCTCATCGGAGTTCCCAAGAACACCTTGGGATACCGACAGAAGCACGTCTTAACGGCTGATTCCCAACCTCCTACGGCGGCCGCAAGAGCCCTTAGACACGCGGCCGGTTGCTTTAAGGAACTAGCGGCAGGGCTACAGCCGCCCCCGCCCCCGGGTCTTCCCTACAGGAGGCTCCTCTTACCTTCCCACCAACAAAAGTTCCGAACTCGCGCTCTCAGGCCGCCCACCTCCGCGCGCCAAACGCTGCATCCTCATTGGACAGCGTAGCTGTCATCTTCTAGGAGAGCAGAACGCAAGCACGGGCGGGTCGGGGCAAATGATCGAACCCTATTTCCGTTCACATGATCCAAAAAGAGCGGAGGAAGCAAGCTCAGGCTCCTCCCAGTCGGCGAAGGTGGGGTGAGCTCTCGCGTAGGATCCTCTGGAAGCCCCGCCCCCGCTTCAGCCCCTCACACCGCCTTCTTCTAGGAAGGCGGGAGAAATGGAGAGACGAAAGCGCAACTGCGCACGCGCTACGCTAAGACGATGCCGGAGCAACGATGCGCTCCTGCATCAGTTAATGCAGCCGGGTGGGGGCGCTTGGTGTGAGGAGGCTGCTTACATACGGATCTTTCCTTGCGGTCCAAATGCGTTTCTGTCGCCTTCCTGCCGCGCTGCACCGAGTTGTCCTTCTCGCTCTTTTGTCACCCGTCGAGCTTACGTTCTTAACGCGGCAGACGGACGTCAGGGACCTGGTTTGCCCGGAGGGAAGAGACCACACCGCTAAGCTCCCGGAGCTAGCAGTTGTTCTTGCCCTTCGTGGTTGTATTTTCTTGCCACGTTGGACCGGGAGGGCCTTTAAGAAAGCCGAGCATTCATAGGCTGCGCTTGACAGTGCGGACTCTTCGGGAACTATTGCGCTCTCTACTTTCGCCTGCCGTTTGCTCTTGGGCTTCCAAGCCCAGTTCCAGGGGCTAATCGTTTTTTTAAAACTTTTTTATTCAAAATTAAAACAAAACATATTATCCAGAAACATATCATCCTTATTTTTTTCCCATTTCCCCTCCCCCCACCCTCCCACACAAAACCCACCCACCGGCTTCCCTTAGTTCCAGTCTTTGATTTCTCTAAGAATGCTGTTTTCTACATGTTACACAGTTGTATAGATCAAACTATTTAGCTGATTGTCATCAATAGAAAAGTTTGTGAATGTTTATTCAAAGCCAGCCAAGGAGTCCAGTTCACTTTGTTGCGTCTTCAAGTACTTTGTAAAGGGTTCCCATTCATCTTTAAAGTCACAGTTATCCTTGTCCCGTAGCTTGTATGTCAATTTTGCCAGTTCTGCATAGTCCATCAATTTTTCTTGCCATGATTCTTTAGTTGGGGTTTCTTCAGTCTTCCATCCTTGTGCTATTAGAACTCTCGCGACCGTTGTCGCATACATGAATCCAGGGGCTGATTCTGACCTATAATGTTTTGCATGGTCTGGGCCTCCAGCACCAGAAAGGATGCACATCTTTCTTTAGGTATTTGGGTCCCAGCTATTTCTATGCTAGTACACTTTGATGAAATGTCACAAAATGTCACGTAGAAAGGGTAGCATAGGTAGAACTATTTCATCTCTAACACAGCTGCTGAAGAAATCTGGAAGAAATAACAAAACGACTCCTGGAGATGACTGAGCATTCATCCTGATTTGCTTTACACAAAGCTAATGTGGGGGTTCTATTATACCCAGTCTTAATTGAGCATTCATTCTGATTTGTTTGTGGGGCTACTACATGACAATCCGCATTCATATACTCATTTGCTTGTGGGGTGTTTGGGCGTCTTCCTGTAACTTGTTAATCTCACACTGCATTTCCCTATCATTTTCTAAACATCAAGAACTTGATTTTTTTAAAAGGTGGATTGGTTGTGTTAGGGCAAGCAAGTGCTTAAATCCCATTTAAACGCATAAGCTTGATATTGTGGTATGCACTTGCAGCCTTCCTATAAAATACAGTCTGGAGGCACCCAGACTTCCTCATACAGTTGCTTATTTATTTATTGACATTATCCCTAGTTTCATAAAGACAAAGCACTAGGTGGGTCTAAATTAGAGGCAAGATCTTACATTGAGTTTTGCATGAGCTCACACACCACTTTGCCCTGGGCAAACTGCAGGGAGAGTGCATGGAGGCCCCCTACCCGCCCCGTCCCAACATTTCATTTCCTTTCTGTCCTGAAGTGCTCTGCTTAGTTCTGTTATTTATTACCGTATTTTTCGTCCCATAGGACGCACCTAGTTTTTTGGGGGGGAAATAAAGGAAAAAAATTTCCCCTTTATTTCCCCCCCAAAACCAGGTCGGGGAAACTGAACCAGGTTGAGGAACAGCAGGATGGCGGCGCTGCGCCTCCCTGCTGTCCCCCGAGCCTGTGGGGCTGGCCGATGTCTGCCCGGCGCGCGGGGCGCTCTGCTTCAGGATGCCCTGCGCGCCGGGCGGCAGGCTGCTATCCGCAGCGTGGGGAGCCCTGCGGGGAACTCCTGCAGGGCTCCCCACGCTGCGGATGTCTGCCTGGCACGAGGGGCGCTCTGCTTCAGGGCGCCCCTCACGCTGGACGGCAGGCTGCTATCCGCAGCCTAGACAGCCTTGCAGGGCCTCCCGCAGGGTTGCCTAGGCTGCGGAAGTGTTCCCGAAGCGCCGGGTGCTCTGCTTTCAGCGCGCCCGGTGCTCCAGGACGCAGGCTGCTATCCGCAGCCTAGACAGCCCTACGGGACCTCCCGCAGGGCTGCCTAGGCTGCGGATGTCTTCCTGAAGCCTGGAGAGCAAGAGGGGTCGGTGTGCACCAATGCAGCGAAAGCCTGCATTCGCCCCATAGGACGCACCCAGATTTCCCTTTCATTTTTGGAGGGGAAAAAGTGTGTCCTATAGGGCGAAAAATACGGTACATTTATATCCCACCTTTCCTCCAAGGAGCAAAAAGTGGCGTACTTGCTTTTCCCTCTACCCATTTTATCATCACAACCAACCCTGTGAGGTATGTTAGACTGAGATACAGTGACTGGCCCAAGGTGAGGACTAGAACCCTGATTTCCCAGGCCTTAGTCCAAAATTATAACCACATCTTCACATTAGTTCTCATTATACAACCCTTAAGTGAATAAGATGTGTAAGGACCACCATGTACAAAGTTACAAGGAAAGCCATGTGACCACCTGAAATTACCATACATCTGAACTTGAAACTATGCCAGTGTTTTGTTCAAATAAGATTTATGAGGACAAGTGGGACTGAGAGAGAGATTAAGGTTGCAATCCTATGAACATTTCTTTGGCAGAAAGTCCCTTCTAAAAAGGCATACAAAGGATTGCATTCAAGCTTTATTTTCTTAGCTCAAGTATTAGCAGCAGTATTCAACATTTCAATACAGTGGTACCTCGGGTTATAGACGCTTCAGGTAACAGACTCCGCTAACCCAGAAATAGTACCTCGGGTTAAGAACTTTGCTTCAGGATGAGAACAGAAATCACGTGGCGGTGGCGCGGCAGCAGCGGGAGGCCCCATTAGTTAAAGTGGTACCTCAGGTTAAGAACAGTTTCAGGTTAAGAACGGACCTCCAGAACGAATTAAGTTCTTAACCCGAGGTACCACTTTATTAGTTTCATTGCATGACACTGCTGTTTGGGAAATTGCTGTAACTTTATTTTTTGTATTCTGAATTGTATTGTGTCCAGTACTGCATCTGCATGCTAAAAGATGTAAATTTGCTTTGCTTCAGTGGTTGCCTGTTTCTTGTTACTTTTACAGTAATTAACATGTGCTATAAAACATGGGAAGAACCCCCCCTAAAAACAAACACATTTTACATTTTAGCTTTAAACAACCTCAAAAGCAGCACCTTCAGTCTTTGCTGAAAATTGACCCTTTCCTCCCCCTTTTCACTCCCTAGAAAGAAAAAAATAGCATCCCTGAACCCATACCTAAAAATCCATAAAATTCAAATAGATTTCCTTTCTGAAACAAAAATCTCTTGGCAGCAGAAACTGACATATATATATTTTAAAAAACAGAAGAGGGCAATATTTGCCTGCTTTAAGTGAGCACCTGGGGATAAACTTGGCACCCGGATACTGCAAAACAGAACTGAAAGGTAAACCTATGACCTCATTGCATCCAGGCCCAATTTAATCAACTACAGGGTATATAAATTAGTAAAAATAAACCTCTTCAATAAAAACCAGTTGCAAAAATCAAACTCTCCCGAATGCTCAGCCTGGACAATTAGTGGTCTACAATAATCAAGGCCAGGAATATCTCTAAAGCATCTGAAACTTAATTGCCCTCTAATACTAACAGTAGTCCACAATCAAGGCAAGCTGAATTCTTTGGATTTAACCTGACTGAGTCCCAGTTACACAATGGGATTAAGAAATCCAAGTATTTTGTCTTAAATAAATGCATTATGAATCAGGCTGTTAAACTGAGTTGGCCACAGTCCACGGAACCCTGTGAATAACTCTGGTTGCCCAGTGGGGGCTTTGGTCTTGTGTTTCTCCAGCAGCTGCTCCCAATACTGCATAGCAAACACTTTCCGAAACTCAGGGGAGCTTTAAAAGAAATTTGTGGTTGATGATTTTTGGTTTCTCGAAACAAATCAGAAGTCTGCTGGGAGCGCCCAAAGTAATTCTTGTGAGTGCCAAAACAGACTTGACATGGGAAATCCATGATTGGCTCTTTCCCCTCTCCTTAATCTTTCTTTACAAGCAGCTCTTTGGGGCGAGGACTAGATTTAGGCAATGGTACTAGATGAAGGGGGGGTTAACCTCCCCCTGCCACTTTGTGCCGCAGTAGAAATGGCTTCCCCTGACGCTGTTCTTTCAGCCTTACTTGGGAAGTGGGGGACAAGTTACATTGATGGTACATAGGTGGGCAAAATCCACAGTATTTACAAAGGAAAACACTTTGGAGGGGGGATCAGTCCTGAAAAAAACATTTGGTCCTTCATTTTGTTTACTTAAGGAAGTATTACAGTCGAAAAAGTCTCTGTTTTTCATTCTCTTATAGGCTACGGTCTGTTTGTCCTGGCTAGCTGGTACATCATATAGGTGGTGCCAATATTTATGTATACTACATGTTAAAAAGATATGTATGTTGAATGTTAGGCTTTATTTTTCTTATCCTTCTCTGTCCATGCTCAAGTAACAGTGTCTTCTGTTCTTTTGTAGCTGTCAACTATGCTTTCTGCATAAATTGTTTGGAATAGTCAAGATCTGTCACACAGATCTCTACTTAACTTGGTTGTCTGAGGTTTGCATACACATGACACTTTACTTCTAGAATCAGTGGAAACTGAGTACCTTGTTGTTTTTTTACATAGTTCACACACAGTCCAGATCTATATATTTTTCTGCCTCAGAAAAGCCCTTC